TGCTGTCACGTCCGCGCTGCTTGTCTTTGTGTCCGTCTGAGACCGAGAGCTTGTTGTTGCTAGTGTCGTTGTCGATGTGTCGTTCTGCTGGCACTGCTGAGAGCGCCGTCGAACCCGCCAGATGCTGCCGACCGCCATGCGCCATGCCAAGCTTTACCATTTCGCTAACTATTTTGGGTTGGGTTTACTCTGTACCTCGACAGGTCATGTCCAATACGACCCCTTTGAACCCGAGTCAATTTCAAATTTGATTCAAAATCCGATTTTAACACCCCTATTTCGCATGATATTTTAATTATAATGATAAATCTCAAATTTTATAAATATATTTTTAAGATTAATATAATATATAAATAAATAATATCAATCCACGGTCCACACAGCCAAGCACCGACATGAACATGCGTGAAATGGCGGCAAGATATTAACTGGAATTAGAACCAAGCTCACGGTTGAGAGCACTGACCTGGTCGTACACCGTCTTAACCAGCGCGTCGTAGTCGACGGTCTTCATCTTCTCGGCTTCCGGCAGGGTAAAGTATTCAAACTGTAGCGCGTACGGCAGCCGCCGCACAGAAGCTTCAAACATCTCGATTACGTACCCTCCGACATTTAGCTCGCCGGTCACCGGATCGCTAACAACGCTAAGAAATGACCGGAATCCGGGATCCACTGGCCCCGGCACCAGAAACCTCATCTTCTTCCCGCCTGTCGGTATCTCCCACCCCTTCGGAACCGCCGCCGACTCTCCCGGCCATATTACCGGGCCAAGTCCACTCCTCTCCGAGTTCCCACCGTCGCTGGATTTCAGATCTTTCGATAACCCACTCCCCGGTGTCCAGAATCCGATTCCTCTTGCGATTTCCCCATTCACATTAACAATTTGGAGCACCGTTACGTTCAGTTCGCCATCTACTAGACGGAATCGCCCGCCGATTCCGTCGAACTGTGTTTCCTGAATAGATTTCAGAAGCTTCGGCCCAATGTTCGAAACCTGTATTTTCGATATCTCGGCCGGGACGGTGCGGGATCGATCGCTCGCCGTATGTGATATGACGACGGCGGGGTCGGCGGCTATTACTGCGTTGGCGGCCGTCGCGACTGCCCAGAATGCGTCATAGGCGTAGTAGTTGCTTGAGCTGAGGTCGCTGCCGGCGATGTCGGCGGTGTGGTTAGGGTTCTGGTTCAGGAACTCGATTATCCAACGTTTTTCGAAATCGCGGACTCGATTGGTTCGTTGGATGAAGGGGCGGACGCCGATGCCACCCTGCATAGAATTGAGAATGATTGCTGGATTGATGGAGCCGAGCTGGCCGGCGACAGCGGATGTGAGTATCCAAGCGTAGTCGGTTTCAGTCATGCCCGACTCGGCGGCAGCGGAAAGAATGCGCGCGGCGAGGCCAGAAGGAGCGTGGAGGACGAATACGCGTGTTTGTAGTGTTTTGAGGCGGTAAAGCTCCATGAAGATGCGGTCATCGGAGGCGCTGGGGGGAATAGGGCATCGGTAGGGAATTTGTGAGTCGCCGGAGGCGGAGAGGGCGTCGACGAGGACAGGGATAAGGGAAGCGCCGAAATCAGAGTCTTCGTAGATTGGGACTAGGCGGCGCCAGGAAAAGGCGGATGCGAGGGCGGCGATGGCTGGTCCCATGGCAGCGTCGGAGGGGACGGCGCGGATGAAGAATGGAGAGAGAGTGGGGGAGAGGAAGGGAGATGAAGCGGTGAAGGAGATGACGGGGATGCGAGCGCGGGCGCCGAGATCTGTTACGAAAGCGGCGGATGAGGAGGTTTGGGGACCGAGGATGGCTGCGACCTGATGGTTAGAGATAAGGTCGAGGGCGGTGGAGGCGGCATCGACAGCGTCAGAGCGTGACGAATTGCGGGGAAGGAGGAGCAGCCGTGCAGTAGAGTCTGGGTGAGAGGCGTAGAAGTCGGTATAGGCGAGGGAGAGGGCGGCGAGTGAGCCACGGCCGGCGGGTGTGCTGAGGTCCATGATTACGCCCACTTTCACCGTCGCCGGCGACAGGGAGGCGATGGTGGCAGAGAAGAAGATCGAGACCAGGATGAGGTATTTCATTAGTAACCCAAGAGAGTGATTTGGTCCTTTCTTTGCTTGCTTTACTTTGCTTTAATATGACTAATTGGAGGATGATCGAAGGGAAAATGGCGACAAATGAATTTTCAGTATAAGGGAAGCGGACAATGTTGAATTATTGCAGTTGGAAAATATTTGACTTTGATATTTTCCGTAACAAATTTTGCAGGTCAAATTTTAAATGAGGGGTTTATATACGCAACATTTGCAAGTTGCAACTCTCTTTTTTATATATTTAACCCACAAAATTTATTATTTATCAGATGTAACACTTTGTTAAATCTTTTTAACAAATAGACAATGAAGAGAAAATCGCATGGTGAAAGGTGATGAGACGGGCGAGCTATGAAAGATGAGTTCAGGGATGAGATTATTAGCGAGAGGAAGATGAGGATTTTTTGTTTTTTTTTTTTTATATTATTTGAAGAATTATTATGTGTTTTGAACTCAAATTTTTTCTTGATTGATGCCTTACCTTATTAGCAAGTCAACTTGTTAAGCTAGAACTTGTGAACAAGAAATGAAGAGAGAGAGAGAGAGAGAGAGAGAGAGAGAGAATTCTATAATTTTCAAATTGGTAAAATACTTACACAATTCATCTTGGTCAAGGTCTTGGGTTCGAGTCTTGTGTATACGATATGTGTTGTGAGTGCCTTAATTTACCTAAATATCCAAAAAAAATGGTAGAATATTCACTGATAAAGAAGAATCAATGGTCCAAGATTCTACATTAGAGTCTCTAAGTTTGAGATTCAACTCCAGGAAAAGAAATTTTATAATTTTTCATCATCACCAACTATTTATAGCGTTCTGAGAGCTACATTAAAGGCAACACAAAGAGAAAGTAAAAGAAAATATATGTTACATAGAATACACATACAACACAATACGATAGTTTGACACATGTTGCCTACCAAAAAGCTGGAGGAGGGTGAAGTCAATAGGCGAGCATTCTGGAGCTAGTTCGATGGCAATGAGTATGATTTGGGTGAGTCTACGAGTGGTTTAGCATGATTGATAACTTGCGTATAAGATGATCTTATATTGCCTTGAGGAAGAAGTTATCTGAGAAGTTGCATGAATGATAGAGCTTCAGGTTGAAAGTTCGTAATTGAATAATATGTTTTCTAAGTAGACACTTCCTGTAATTGAGTTGGGCGAGCTAGTTCTGATATTCTGGGTGGAGAGCAATTGAGAGATGTAACAACATGTGGCAATGCAATAAGAGGCCGCAAGCTTTATATTATGCTCAAACGAGTTGAGCCTATTGGTCCCTTCGAGCTGGTCCTGGATGAGTTCCCCAAGGAACCCTTTTTTAGGGTAAATAACCTCATCAAGATTTTTTTTTCTCCTTTTAAAAATTTTTCACGTAAATAATCTCATCAAGATCTAGTAGTTACTTGTGACACATTTGTGAAGGTATTTATGAATATATAAAAAAAAATTAAATCTTAAATATGTAAATATGATAATTTTTAATACTATGAATATAAATTCCCAATTTATTAATTTCACTGGAATATATAGAATTACTCTCATCTTAAACTAATTCGCTATTATAATATAATTTCAATCAAATTTCAATTAGATTGTTAGGATATACAAAGAATTAGCTTAAAAGATTATGATGAAAATTTAGATCATCACATAATCATTAAATTTGTAACCCATTCTTCATAAAAATTATTTATAAATCCACTTGTTAACTAAATGCTTCGCAAAACGTGCAAAATTGACTTTTGTTTTTTTAAATAAGGTGCTGTTTTGGCTCTCTTGTTCGGATCGGGCGAGCAGCATAGTTTACTTAGGTCCGGAGAAATTATAACCGTTCGATGAAAATAAATATTAGTTCTTGATCGATCTTTCACCGTAGATGACTTCAGAGACGACTTTGAACTGTGTTTGACGCAGAAAGATTGAGTTGGACTACAAATAATCCAACCATTCTTTGCATGATGACTTTCCATGGTCCTTAAGAGTTTGGTGGGCAGAAGTACTTGATAGGAAGCCGATGGCATAAGTTCTCGACGAAATTAAGATGAAGATCAGGGGCAATAAGGTAAAGTAATATACTTAACAGGCAAGAAAGAAAATTTTTGAAGCTGGGAAAGCTGAGTAAATTGAGTCTTGAATTTAAATAAATATTGAAATGATTTAAATATATTCAGTTACTAAGATTTCGTTTGGGAGTATTTTCTTATTATTTCTTTAAATAAATTTTTAGTGTTAAAATTAAAAATTTTATATTATAAAATTGTTTTAAAAAGTTATGAAAAAGCCGTTTCAAATGAAGTTTAAGCTATGAAATTTTTTTATTGGGGATATAAATTAATTTTGATTAGATTAGGAAATCATGACTTATAATTTGATATTACCTTAATGTTTTTTACTTCAGCCATAAATCTTTTTACTATTTATAATAATTATTTTTGTCACATTGTGAAGAACAAATAATTAATCTCATAAATATTTGTGGCATATACTATATAATTAACACACTCTAACTTTTTTACTCGTATAACTATTGGTGCTAGTGAATTAATTACAATAGATTGTGTAAATCCCTCGGTTAGTCTCTTATTCACATATCTTGCATCATAAGTTAGACTTGAGCAGAGGTGCAAACAAGTCAAGTCGACTCGTGAGCCTGCTCAAGCTTGACTCTTTAACAAACTCGTTAGTTGAGTTTATCAAGCTCGAGAGCTCATTTTCAGTGGCACGAGCGGATCAAGCTCAAGCTTGACTCACAAATGAAGCTCGAGTTAGACATGACTCGAGCTTGACTCAACTTGACTCGAGTTAGATATGACTCAAACTTGACTTAACTTGTTTGCACTCCTAGACTTAAGTGATGTTACTTGTAGGAGTTGATTAATTTATTAAATATAAATCTCACTTGCTTATAGTCTAATATATTGGATTGTAATATACAATGATGTGTCAAAAACATATACCCCTTAATATTAGCTTATGCACACTCTACATATTCTATCTCTTATATTTCCTCACAAAATTTTGTAATTAGGATGTGTTGGTTTGTGATTTAATTGATTTGATGTTTTTGTTAGTATAATCTTTGTGTATGATCTATAGTTTTTGAAGTATAAATTTTATTACTCAAATATTGAAGGTCATTCGTAAATTTTATTACTCAAATAATTTTATTTTGCCCGATACAATAAATATTGGTTAAGCTTTTCTTAGGGGCTATTTGGTTGAAATATTTTGAAAATTTTGATGTTTAATTGGATGAAAAGTAAATCCAAAATAAAGTAAATTAAATGGAGCATATTTCATTTTAGTTCATTTTTGAGATAAATCGCTTTGTTTCGTTTTGAGAGAGGACCGTTTACACTGCTATTAAGCTTGCTTGACCCTCGCCAATGATCACCATCTCCACTGCCAACTAGCTATCAGCCGCCACCTTCCACAGCTTGCCCCCATCAAACCTTTGCCGCTCGACCTCTAGCGTCGAACCTCCGCCAACCGATCGCTTCCCTCAAATCTTTTGTAGGTCAAGCATTCCCTCGAACAAAATTTGTAGACCACCTTATCATCCAATTAATGCCATGAGGATTTTAACTATTATTTTAAGATAAATGTACTATTAATTGAAAGAGCTTTTATATTATAATTATTATAAAAATCAACTATAAAATAAAATTAGAGATAAGGATGAAGATATTTTAGTCACTTACACTGAAAAAAAAAATTTAAATATATTGATATTGAAATAATTTTTTTTTATTTTTCAGAAAATGAAAAATAAATGCTATAAATTATAAGTAATTTTAATTATATATATTTTATCTGTTAACATTGGCATACTGTAAATACAGATGTCTTATGGTTAGATCAAATAGATATAGGAATTTGAAAATAACAGAGCACATTTGAATAAGAGCAGACTGTACTGTCCAACTTGACAATACAGATACAGATGTAATATAATTACTAATATCATAATGTTGATGTCGCAATTGTCGCAATTGTTGAATAAATAACACAATTCTTAGTTCTAAAATGTTTACAGGTTTATTTCTGCTCTCTTTCTCGGAAGTTGCAAAGCATTTTACTTTTCTGAATTTTAGTCATCACAAAATTATTTATTAAGCCTTCTTTGGAACAATTATTACGTCCTCCGACCCGACGTAGAGCTACGTCTGGTCAGATCTAAAATCGCGCCAAAAAACGAGAAATACAGAGCAAATACCGAGCAATACCAAACAACAACTCGGTATTTTTTTGTACAACTCGGTATTGCTCGGTATTGCTTGGTATAACTCAGTATTGAGTCTTCACATGATGGTATTCCTCGTTATTACCAAATAATACATAGTAATACCGAGTTTTTTGGCGAGATTTTAGTGCCGACCGGACGTTCCTCTACGTACGTTCACCGGACCAAATAAAAGTTCCTTCGTTTGGGACCAGTTTTTTATTGCTTCTTAAATCAACTTTTAACTTAAAATGTAAAAAGCTGCTTTAAAAAATTATAAGAGATAAGTCTCAAACGAAGCCTAATAAGATATTTACTTGCAAGTGATTTATGTATTCTGTATGGTAAGATTCCAACATATCACATCCTACCCTTGGAGAAAAAGACTACCAATAAAGATTTTTTTAATACTCCGATGATGATAAGGAAGGGTAATAAATATGAAGATGTAGGTCATGCTTCTAATGGAGGAAAAGACTTTGTCAAGCAAATATTGGACCATCGATCCTTTGCCTTCTACTTTCTCTTGAACCGACATTTTTTTTAAATGCTATGTAGACAACCTCATGGTCAAGAGCAGAGTCCATGATGATCATATTAGAGATCTTTGAATAGTATACAAGTGTCTAATCCAGCATAACATCAAAATGAATACTTTGAAGTGTGTTTTCCAAATTTTTGCGGAAGGATTTTTTTTTAGTGAGAAAGCATTAGTCATCCATCAGTAAGTGGCGGAGCTAGAAATTTTATTTTGGGGGGAGGTAAATTAAAATAAGTTCAGTTTGCCATCTCATTTGAAAGGTCAGAATATATGAAAATAGTTTTGTTTGTCTTCTTATTATCGGAGCCAAGAGGAACTATAAGATCAAAATTAAGAATGCAAAATAACACGACCCTTAGAGCTTAGAAGACATAAACATCTACCACGAGCGGTTTTCGTTTGGGGGCAGAGATGAGCGAAAGGAAAAACTAAAACCGTGCACAAGATCGTGAGTCACGAGAGAGGAGCAAAGAGGAAGACGAACCATTGATGCTTTTCAAGTGTCCAGAAAAAAGTTATTGGTGGCTTCTTAGGATTAATAAATAACTTTAAAAAGGAGAATTACAAAAATTAGAGCAGGTTCCCTCATTGGTGAACTTGTTGCTCTGTTAAGCCCACCAAAACAACCAGCTTTAAGCCCCTTTAGACTTTCAATTTTAGCTTTAGTCAAATCCTTTAGAGGAGATCTCTCATCCACAATGGAAAGTTATTCCTCCCTATCTCTTTCAATATTTTACCCCATTAGTCTTTCTCTCTCAACAGCTAAAGCATTTCATGGTACGGGTAGAAGGTGGATTGAAGACTTGAAATGGAAAAAGCCTGTCAATGTAAAATACATGATGTTATAATCACCCAAGGACAAATAATCACAAGGAGGTTAGAAAAACATGACTGGCAATCAGGTAATCCAAATAAGATTGACTTACAATAGGAGCATCCAATGGGCTACAAATCTCCACTTCAATGCCTTAGTCCTCAGAAGAATCTGTGGCATCCATTTTCTGTTTCCATGAACAAAACTCATTGGATTTGATGTCTGTTAAGTGATTCACAACATCTCTCATTGAAGGTCTCTCACTAGGCTCTTCTCTTGTGCACTCTAAAGCTAACATGACTACTTCGTACATTTCTTTTGCTACTTTGGATTCCAAAGCTTCATCTATCAAATCTGGATCAAGGATCTGGTTTATATCATCGACGCCATCCAAGCTTGATCTCACCCAACTAACCAAGTCTGAGTTCTCTGAAAAAGATGGGTCTACTGCCATCTTTCTTGTAATCAGTTCGAATAAGACGATACCATAGCTATAAACATCAGATTCCTTGTTCCTCTTGACAGTAAATGCAATCTCTGTAATGCACGGAGAACAAAAAAATTAGAGAATATGCCCGCAAGAGAACCTCAATTCTGTACAAGACCTGCAAAATCAATTTTTTTTATGGTTTCAACAAGGATTTTTGCGTGTTGTAGATAATAACAAGCATTTTATGCTAAGAAAATGAAGTAGACAATATGTTTAAGAGGACAAAACTTTGAAAATAATAGCACAGATTCAGAATTCATACCTGGGGACATATAACCAATGGTGCCCATTATCCCAGTGGTGGTTGGGGTGGCTGAGAATTGATCCATGAACCTTGCGATTCCAAAATCTGTGATATGGGGCTCCATTTCTGAGTCCAAAATAATGTTTTTTGGTTTAATGTCGCAGTGGATGATAGCTGGATTACAGTCCCAATGGAGGTAGGATAAACCTTGGGCAATCCCAATAGCTATTTTGTAGCGTAATTTCCAATCGAGAAATGGAGATGGCTTGATCTCATGCAACACATCATGAAGGCTTCCATTTTCCATATATTCATACAGAATTAATCCACAATCACTTTTCAACCAGAAATTCACCAATTTCAGTAAGTTCCTGTGCTTGATCGTTCCCACTGTTTTAATTTCTGTCAGCATGCTTGCATGAGAACCTTTCTGAGCGCCAAAGACGAGCCTCTTCACTGCATACACTTCTTCTGGACTTAATGAAGCCTTATAAACTGTTCCATGAGCTCCTCTACCTATGACATATTTCTCATCCATGTTCTCTGTCGCCTCCATCACTTTGTTCAGAAGTAAAGAAGAACCTTCATGTAAAGATGGAACTTCTTCTATCACTATTTTTTTAAGCAAGGGAACCAAGCAGCCTATTGCAAAAATCACTAATAAGCAGAAAAGTGATGAGCCAATAATTATTGCAACCAATCCAATCTTACTGAAGGAGCTTTTCGACTTGCTGTTACATGGTTTTAAGATGGTTTGATTCGAGCAAGGCGAGCAAGAATCGCAAAGATCAGCATTTCCAATGAAAGAGCTTGGCGAAGTTTGCAGAAACTTGCGCAAACTTTCTGGTACCGGACCTGCGAACTGATTAAATGAAACGTTCACATAAATCAATGAGCTGAGACCTCCCAATGGTTCAAGGCTTCCCGACAGACTATTTAGAGATAGATCCAAGCTCTGGATTTTTTTTAGATTTGCCAACTGTGGAGGAACCTCACCTATAAGCCTATTACTGCTAAGATTCAAAGCTATGTTCAAACTTTGTAATGAACCCAATGACAATGGAATTTTTCCACCAAGAACATTTCCTCCTAGCTGCACTTCTGTTAGATGATTAAGTTGTGACAAGAAATTAGGGATCCCTCCACTGAGTTGATTGTCTTGCAATATAAACTGAGAGAGATCGGTTAGGTTTGCTATGCTTGATGGTATTGAACCACTCAAAGAATTGAAACCCAAGTCCAAAATGAAAAGCCTTTTACAGTGAGAGATTTCAAGAGGTAGCTGACCATTCAAATTATTGTAAGAAATATTCAAGACTCCTAGTTGCCGTAAGTTGCCTATTTCTGGAGGTATAGGTCCAGTGAGCTTGTTTCTTGACAAGTTTATTAAAGTGAGATTCATACAATTGCCTACTGTAGTAGGAATGCTCCCATTCAAATCATTCACACTTACATCCACATAATTCAAGCTCGATCGAATTGCCCAATTTGGTATATAACCAGTGAGATGGTTATGGCTAAGTATCACCCTCTTTAAGCTCGCGCAATTTCCAATATTTGAAGGAATGCTACCGTTCAGTAAATTAAGACCCAAATTCAAAACCTCCAACTTTCTACCATGACAAATTCCAGGTGGTATTGCACCAGTCAAGAAATTATTGATGAGATCAATCTTCAAAAGGCTACTATTAATTCCCAGACCCTGCGGTATAACTCCGCTTAATTTGTTGCCATAAAGAGTTATTACCTTCAGATTTTTCAGCTTCACCATCTCTTGTGGGAGCTCCCCAGCGAGTTCATTGTAGTAGAGAAGAATTTCCTGAAGCTCTTGTAGCTTCCAAATCTCAACAGGGATTTCTCCACTCAAATTATTGCTGAAGAGATAGAGTTTCTGCAAATGAATCAGTTTACCTAGTTCTTTAGGAATTGCTCCTTCTAATTGGTTTTCATAAATCTCTAAATTTGATAGCGAACTGCAATTTCCGATCTCATGAGGAATTGGCCCTATCAAAGAGTTCCCAAACAAATAAAGATCTGAAAGCTTGGTTAATAAACCAATGGAGGAGGGTATTTGGCCAGTTAAACTATTGTTATCAGCAGCTAAAATACTCAAACTACTACAGTTTCCCAGTCCTTCAGGAATTTCACCTTCAAACTTATTATTTGACAGGTCCAACCATTGCAACTCCTTGCAGCTGCTTGGTATTAGAGGGATCCTTCCTGTTAAACCATTACTGCTAACATCAACATAATTAAGACCTTTGATTCTATTTAAATTGTTTGGAAGAGACCCTATCAGCTGGTTTTGGGCAAGATAAAGCTCCTCTAACTTAGTACAATTTCCAATCGAATCAGGCAAGAAACCAGACAAGAGATTATCACTCAACCATAAAACGATGACCTTTCTCATTTTCCCTACACTTGGTGGGATAGTACCAGTGAGATTGTTCTGGTTCAGGTAAACTGTTTCCAGATTTGTAATTTGAAACAATGAATCTGGAATACTTCCATGGAGGAAGTTGTTGTATAGAGAGAGATAGGAAAGCCTGCTTAAGTTTCCCAGGCTTTTAGGTATGTCCCCGGACAAAAGGTTGTTTGAAAGATCCAGGTATTGGAGACGGGTGCAATTTCCCAACGCTGGTGGGATTGAACCAGAGAGAGCATTGAAACCAATATCAATTCTCTCAAGATGATGCAATTGTCCAACCTCTGGTCCTAAGCTGCCAGATATCCCAATAGATGAAAAGTTGAGAGAAACAACATAACTATTTTGACCACAGTGGATTCCAATCCATCTACAAGGGTTTGAATCGGAAGATTTCCAAGTAGATTTTATGCCAGATGGCAATACAAGTGTTCTTGAAAGAGTAAGAAGTGACTTCCCTTCAGAGTTCAAGCCATATGAATGGTGAGCAAAAGCTGATAAGAGGAGTGTGCATTGCCAGAAAAGAGAAGCCATCTAAAGAAGAAATGGGAACAGTTAGCTAAAAGAACACAAACAAATCTAGAAAAGAAATTAATGTCTCATAAATACAACAAACATGAGTACTGATATGATGAAACAAGTGAAAGTAGGATGTTAAGCAATGCAAACATGAACTAGCTGTGTTTCTTCAAGGACATATACTGATTTGAAGTGGAGCATGCAGTAAAGGAATCTAAATGAAGGAGAAAAACATTGTTTTGAGTTTTTTTCATGCACTTATTTGGAAGCATTAGTTGTGCAAATAATTTGTAAAAATAGGCACATACAATGAAAATAGGCACACCCAATATTAATTATTAATTTTGGACTTCAAGAAAAAGAGACAAAAAATAAATATAATGAAAATAGGCACACCCACCATTGATTATTAGTTTTGGACTTTAAGATAAGTGACATAAAATAAAAAATAAAGTAAAATGATATTCTAGGATTAGATCAGAGCATTTAAAAAATATTTTTAAAAGTAAAATTTTAGATCTTAAGAATTTGTCTATGCATAGAGATGCTAATGTTATATGAGAAAAAGTGACTAGTGATATTATGAATATTGCAAAAGATGTGTTGAAGAATTAAAAGAAAATACTCCTAATAGTAGAAATAGTTGGTGGTTGAATCCAAATGTGCAAGAAATGATTAAAAAAATAATTTTTATAATAATTGATTTAGATGTAAAAATTCTGATAATTGAGAAATATATAAAGATGCGCGTAAGGAATCTAAGAAAGCAATATACGATGCAAAGAACTTAGTGTTTAATGATTTACTTAATATATTAGATATTAAGGAGGGAGAAAGATATATGTATAAGTTAGCTATATGAAGATTATGAAAATAAGATTGATTGTAGTGACTTAGCACCCTAAATGAAAATAAAGATTTCTGTTTTTATCGGCGTATTAGTAAAACCGAAGTTCGAGAAGTTTTAAAGAAAACGAAGTATGAAAAAGCTGTTGGACCTGATGATATTCAAATAGAGGTGTGGAAATGCTTAGGAGATGAAGTAATTTCTTGTCTCACTAAACTTTTTAATATTGCTTTGAAGACTAAAAAGATGCCAGATAAGTGAAGAATGAGTGTGTTAATTTTTATTTTTAAGAATAAATGTGATGCACAAGATTATGAGAATTATAGAGGAATTAAGTTAATGTGTCATACTTCAAAACTATGGGAGCCAGTTATGGAGCGTAGGTTGCAGCGTGATACTAATATTTCTCAAAATCAATATGGATTTATGACGAGTAGGTATGCTATTGAAGCCATACATTTATTGAGAGATTTGATGGAGAAATATAGAGAGGATAAGGAGAATCTACATATGATATTTATTGATTTATAGAAAGCATATGATAAAGTTCAAAAGAAAAGTGCTATGGAGAGTTCTTGAAAAGAAAGGAGTTACTAATGCTTATATTCAAATCATTAAAGATATGTATGCAGGGGTTATTTCTTGTGTTCAAACACAAGGTGGTTTGACCAAGTATTTTACTATTATAGTAAGCCCATATCTTTTTGCTTTAGTCATGGATGTTCTCAACAGACATTTGCAAGAGGATGTACCTTGGTGTATACTTTTTGCTAATGATATTCTTCTTGTTGATACGACTAGAGAGGGAGTTGAAGGTAAACTTGAATTATGGAGGTCAACCTTAGAGTTTAAAGGTTTTCACTTGAGTAGATATATCAAACAATCAAGGGGGCTGCAAACGAACCGAGTCAAGCCAAGCTTTTACCTGTTAGAGTTCGGGCTCGTCTGTCAGAATCGAGCTCAAGCTCGGCTCGAAGCTCGTCGAGCTTCTTGGACAGCTATTCGAGTTCGAGCTCATTTAAAACTTCCATATTCGAACTCGGTTCGGTTCGTGTTTGAGTTTGGTTCGTTTCGAGCTTAACGTGCCTCTTCTCGAGCGGCTCATGAACGAGCCACTGAGCTGACCCGTAAGTAACAAAATAAATTTATTTATTTCAGGACCCGCCCGCCTGCTGAGATAGACCCACCCGTCTGCTGCCCATTGCTCGTCAAGTGAGCTGCAGCTGTATTTGTTTATATGTAAAGAATCCTTTTTACTCCAGGCGATGTGGGACTAAACCTCCCCTACAATTTTTTTCCCTGTAGGCCACAGAGGAGAGAGAGTGGCAGCGGCGGGAGTTAATAAAAATAGCAAAAATTAAGAGAGAGAGGCAGGTGAGTGGGCGGGAGTTAAAATTTAAAAATAGTAATATATATAACATTATAACAGTTATTTAAATAACACTCGTATATACATATCTTATTAATTAAATAACATTATAATATTAGGTTTAAATGAGAATTTGACTTTTAATAGAACACAATGGAGAAAAAGGATTCAAGTAGCCGACCCCACGTAGTGGGATAAAGGCTTGATGTTGTTGTTGTTGTTGTATATTATTAATTAAACAATAATATAAATGAGCTTAATTAAATAACATTATAATAGTTAATAGTTAAATATTTTTTAATTAAATAAGGCATAATCAAGCTTTTTAATCGAGTTTCTTAACGAGCATGTTCACGAACTCTAAAGAATCTTGTTCATGAACATAAACGAGCTGAACGTCGGGGTGTTCAAGCTTGTTTATTTAGCTATCGAGTATTGTCAAAGTTGTTCAAGCTTGTTCATTTACCTTATCAAACGAACATAAACGAGTCCTTATCGAGCCGAGCCACGAGTAGCTTGTCGAACGCTCGGTTCCTTTGCAACCCTACGAAAAATGAATATATGGAGTGTAATTTTAGTAGCAATATATCTAGTGAGAGGATTGTGACTTTTCAAGTCATTAATAAAAGTATACGTTTTAGATATATTAGATATATTGTTCAGAGTGATGGTGAAATAGATGGGGATATTATCAGCAGAATTCAAGTTAGATGGTTGAAGTGGAGGAATGCATCAGGTTTGTTGTGTGATAGAAAAGTCTCCATTCAAACTTAAGGGAAAATTCTATAAGATGGTGGTGAGACCTGCAATGCTTTATGCTACCGAATGCTGGCCATTAAAAGAGAAGCATAATACTAAATTAAGTGTTGCAGAGATGAAGATGCTCAGGTGGATGAGTGACTTTACCTTTAGAGATAAGATACAAAATGAGCATATACATGAAAAGGTTGGAGTAGCGCCAGTGGAAGATAAGATTAGAGAGAGTCGCCTTAGATGATTTGGTCACATAAAACGGTGACCTTCCGATGATCCAGTTAGGAAAGTAGAGACATTAGATTTGACTTATATTGAAAAAAGGTAGAGGTAGACCTAAAAAGACTTGGTTAGAAAATATTAGAAATTATCTTTCTTTATCAGATTTAAATGAGAATTTGACTTTTAATAGGACACAATGGAGAAAAATGATTCATGTAGCCTACCCCACGTAGTGGGACAAAGGCTTGATTTTATTGTTGTTTGTTATTTTTATAGGCACATACAGTGAAAAGAAAGCAGACCTTTTAGCTCTCAATTCAGCTATATGGATGAATGGATATCAAAGGAATATAAGACCTCGTTGTTATTATTGATTTGGCTAGAATAGAAAATCCGAAAATCCCAACGAAGTCAAATGAGCTGAAATGACTTCAGCTAATGGACTCATTTAGGGGCTGTTTGGCAATTAGTAGGCTTTGAAATATAGCAAATTTTGGAGCCATCGAATCTTAAGAATTGTTTGGTATGAATTTGGCATGATAAACTTTAACTTTGGTTAAATCCTAATAAACTGTTTGTCAGATATTTTTAAGATAAGATATAAATAAAAGAGAAGAAGAAGCACAATGAAAAAAAAAAGTGATGTAAATCTCTAAAATCCTACATTTCCCAATGATTTACAGATTCTGGGATATTCCTTAAAAAAGTGGAAAGATTTATGAGGCTCAAAGAACTGTTTGGCCAGATTTAGCCTAAAATCTTGGCTAAATCTCGCAACCAAACAGCCCAAAGGAAAGTGAAAGCTGGTGAAATCCTTTTATAACAGTAGGGTTTCATGACATTATATCCACCATTGCTCTTACAAAATGCACAAAGCAGAAAATCTGCAGCTTTAAACACAAAACTAAAAACTCTACAAGCAAAATACAAAAATAAGCCATTCCCAGAACTATGAAACCCGCCGCTTCTAGTTAAAAAAAGAAGGGTTTTTTACCACAAAATACTAGAGAATAAGTAGCGGCGGAAGTTCCATTACCTTCTTACAGCTCCAAAATCGAAGCTTTCCACTCCTGTGTGCTCGGTTTTAACCCCCTCGGAGGAACAAGGAGGCACAGGTCAAAGTGGGTTCGAATGCAGAGCAAAGCTGAAGAAGCCTGCTATTTATTCTTTGAATTTCTTGAATTTTCTCCTCAAACTAACCACGACCTTCTCACAACACGCAAATATTGTATTTTTAATTGTTTTTGCCGTTTCGCAGTTTTACTTCCCTCCTCGTGGGTTTTGACCGTCGTCACTGAGATTTCACACTCGACGCAGCAAAAGCCGCGACCACGCGAAAATCTGGCCACCATGGCTAGTCTCTGTACTTTACTTTTCTCTCTGAAATTGTGGATCCGTTCTTCTCTTCTAGCTTTTCTCGCCATATGAACAGATGAAAAGTTGTTTGACTTTTTTACCTCAAAAGTATTGCAATTTATTTTGAAAAGATTTTAAAAATACTATGTATAACTTTACAGATTAATGAATTAAAAAAATTAAATTAGGAATATTGATTAGGTGGCAGAGTTAAAAAAATGGTCTAGTGGGGAGAACAAATTAAAATTTTCAAATATTAGTTCAATATTTTTCATTCATGCTTGAGAGAGTGACATTAATTGTTTTAAAATAGATCTTATTTAAGCTTATTATTTAAAAAGGTAAAATATAATATAATAAAAAATGAATAATTTATAATGTATGTTTTTTATATTCTGAAAAAATTAAATAATTACTTTATTATCTATACAATCAAATATTAAAATATCACTCATCCATAATATCAAATTTCATTTTTTTGTTGTTTTTTCATGATAGTCTTGAGAGAAAAAGCTTTATCAACTTATATTAGATGCATTTATTAAAATAAAGTCTATTTTTTATTTATCATGATAAAATTTGAATTATAATATCAAAAAGTAATTTATTTTCATATAAAAATCAAATTTATAAAGGATGAATAAAAAAATAAAAGTGATTAACTATAATTCTATTTTAATAAAAAATTATAAATAATAATAATATGAATATAAAAAAATAATTATATTTTCTTTTCTTTGGGGAGGTTGTCCATGATTAGTTTTGACTACCAACTCAAAGTTTTTATTTCGAGTCTTAGGTCTGTGATGTGTGTGAGCTATTCTTAATTTGTCTAAATGTCCTAAAATATATATATATATATATATTAGGATGTCACATAAACATCGGCTTGATTGTCACGTGGATATGAGTTATCCATGTAAAAACTTGATATTTTTTTATCGAACAAAAAAATCCTTTCATTTTTCAACACTTTCTCATTAACTCAATCCTATTTTTTCTGCACGTAGTAAATTCACTACTACTTCCACTTTTCTACGTCTCTTTGGCGTCATTTGAAACGGTTTTCTTACTGCTTAAAGAAATGTTTTAGCCAAAAACATAAAATTTTTGTACTTAAAAATTACTTTATGAAACAATAAGAAAACTGTCCCAAACAAAACCTTTATCTCTCTTTCTGTCTTCTCCAATTCCGTTTCTTCTATCTTCCCACTAAGTAGAAATATTATATATATAAATATTAAATAAGTTGACTTCTTCGGTATTCTTCGTCATAACATTATTATAAATTTACATACACAGAGGAAAAAAGATTATTTAAAAGATCAGACAAAAAATTGTGAAAGAAAAGTGAATAGTTGTTATTATCATTATGAAAGCTTTGAACATTCATTAGTAATAAACTCATTTTAATTAAACTAAGTTGATTTTTAATTAACAGAAGGCATTCAACCCACGACTGTTGTCTGTTAAGGATTACTACCAAAGAATCACACGCCAGTTGACAAAGAAAAGAAGTCAACGTGTTTTATTTTAAAAAAATTATGCATCAAGACTTTGGCACATTTCACGAGGATAGAAATGTAATATTTTTAATCTATAGGATTGTTACAATCCGGGAGCCCGACCTAATTGTGTTTTGATGGTTACAGAAATTATTTGATGATTAACTACTTATTCCTATATATTATTATGGATACTTATTTTGTGCATTATTAACATTTTAGTTAACAAGATACATGATGAAGGAATGTAGATTTAGACTCAAGACTATACGTTGTGATTGTATGAGTTAAGACTACGCATTAAAGGGTCTGTATTTTTTTCTTTTTCTTGAGTCAATGTATAGAAAAAATATGTGTTAGCTTAATAACTGTGCACACACACAAGGGGATAAAGATTTTATTTTTTTCTGTTAAATCACACTGTACTATCTCAATCATACTATATGATTAGTTAAAATAAAAAAAAAAATTAAAATATTTATTTTAATTAAAAAATCAATATAAATTATAACTAATTAATCTTATAGTACAACAACAACATCGTACTGGACGATCAGCTATAACCAGAAACCCCGCTGCCAAATCTAACTGACCTCAAATAAGCATATTTGAATTTTGAAATTTTAAATTTGAACTATTCGTACTATATGAATCATTTTGTAATGTATGATCTTTTAAATAATTGCCTAATTAGGTCAAATAATTAGGCAATCAAATTGAATCTGATTGATTACAGATTGTACTGCATAACAATACAATGTCCTATATGATTCACCTGAGGAGTCTTTGGACGAAGTTTGGTTCGCCCAGTGCGATCATAAGATCATGCTGTACAACTCTCCTGAGAGCACTCTAGATGACATTTGGTTCATCCTATATGATCAGGTCATGATTTGTACTAATTGTTATGTGCATTATTCATCATGCAATACTATCGTGGGAAATTTGGACTAATTGTATTGCACAAACAATGATGATTAAATTGAAAATTAGTGTTTTTAAGAAGTCAGCTATTTAAACATCTCTTAATTCATTTGAGAGTGTATGTATTTGGCTGTATAAGAGTGTCTTCTGTAAGCAAAGACAGCCTTAAACAAGATGGGGAGAGATAAAATTGTGTGAGAGAGAAGAGCCTTGTGAGTGCAAGGGAGTGTGAGAGAGTGTTTACGTACTGTTGTTCCGACCGACATTCACTTCGTTCCTTTATGTGTCAAATTCTTTTTTGAGGGAAATTCCGTGAAGAAGCACTTGGAGTCAAAGGTTAACTGGCCACTCCGCCGCATTGGGGAAGGTGAAAGGGATTTGGCTACCCCACTGCAACGGGAAGGTGAAAGAGATTCGGCTACACCATCACACCGAGAAAGGTGAAAAAGATTCATTTACTCTGTCGCATCAGGGAAAGTGAAAGGAATTTTCGATTCTCAACCGCACCGAGGGTGGAAGTGATTATTGTGAGGGCTATATATTTGTCTTGCCATGGGGCTAAAGGAGAGAAATTAAAGTGTTTAGTGCAATACTTTGAGAAGAGGATTCCAGGGAGTGAAAGTAGGTCATGTTAACCAAAGTACTATAACTTTATGGTGTATTTGTTCATTTACTTTCCATACTTTATTTTATGTGATTTATATTCTTGCAAATTTACTTTGTGCAATTTGATTTGCGTTGGTGAATATTGTGATTCAAGACTTATAGTTGATTGAGTTTATTTCCTAGTTGAAAAAAAAATAAAAATAAGAAAATAAAAAGAACTATATATATATGTGTGTGTGTGTGTTTTTCTACAAAAAATTCAAAAGACAAAAATTAGTTTTTGTTTCATTATTTGCTTTCTTATTAAGAAAATTTGATTCTGATTTTAAATTTGTGAAATTAATTTTAAATTTGAAAAAGGATTTTTGAAAAAAAATAAATTAAAATATCAATTCACTCCCCTCTTAACGTGTCATACAATAATTCAAGTGGTTTGAGAACCATCCTTTGAACTTTCAAAGATGTTAAGAGATTGATTTTAATTTAACTTGAGAAGGGACATTGAAGATTTACATGCAAATATTCAATCGTCTCAAATTTTTAATAGTTACATTGAATACGAAGATGCGCTTTGTCAAATTTATGTTCGGATTAATAGTGCATTTAGATTCACCAAATTTTTATTTATTTTTTTTCTTTCCCATCAAATCAAACATAAAAAATCTAAAATGTATGCATTTAAAATAATTTACATTAATTTTTCATGGAGAATGATATTTTTTTATGCTGTATTCTTCTTTTTATTGTTTACATTATTTGAATTTTTTTTTTTTCTTCTTTCTTGTTCTATTTAGATCTAGTTTTGTGGGGTTTTATAGAGCTTTCCTCGCTTCACTTCATCAACTTGCCCCATAGACGGGAAGAAAGGAGCTTTTAGCAGCGAGCCAGTGAATGAGAGAGAGCAGCAATGGCGATAACGAAGGTCCAAAGGATTATGCAAGCATTTATCCCATTACGTGGGGTCTGCTGTATGAATCATTTTTGCCCACCGTGTCCTGTTAAAATCCAAATTCTCATTTAAATCTAATAAAGAAAAGTCGTTTCTAATATTTTGTAACCAAGTCTTTTTTAGGTCTACCTCTACCTTTCTTAACATAAGCCATTTTTTAACATAAGACAAATATAATCTAACACATCTACTCTCCTCAAAATCTGAAAAAGAAGAGGAAAAAAAAAAAAGTTATTTACTACTACAAGATTAAAAAAAAAAAAAAGGTGGAAGGATGATTTCATATCCTATGGAGGTAGAATTAGAGTAGATATCTTTATGGTTAGTGATCATCTTCATCCTAAATTCAGGTGTTCTTTGACATAGTTTTCTTATCTTTGTATTCGTTTAATAGTTGACAGTTTTTTTCTTTCTAGTTCATTTACAGTTATCTTCCATTGGAATTTTAATAGCAAGCAAACTCCAAGTTTAGGATTCCGTGTATTTTGAAGCATAGTACTACGAAAGTTTTACAAAAAGAAACTTTAATTCTGCTAAACATCTTCATAGTATTGAAGTTTCAAATATACAGTTGTTGGAATTTTGACAATTTATCTCCCTTATACGTTTGGGAAATATTAATTGAACATGTTAAAGTTTGCCACCATGACTCTTGAAAAAATGGTTGCTCACATAGAAGACCTATCATATCACTCCACCCAGGGTGTCAATATTTGACCCGACCCGAAAGCCCGACCCAAAAATTTCGAATTTTTGGGTTGACCCGAACCCTATTCGGGTTCGGGTTGCGGTTTTCGACCCATTTTAAAAATAGGTCAGGTTTGGATTGACCCGGGAACCTGGAATGACTCGGCTACCCGATCTGCCCACATGCATTGAGTTGCTACCACGCGTGACTCGCACCGCCGATTCTACCCACAATCCAACTGTTGGTGAACTGTTGCCGCGCGTCGCAAGACGTCGCCGCTGCCCGCTGCTGAACGCCGGCTGCCCGCGATGTTGTCGGCCGTCGAAGTCCCTTAAACACGTGATTTCTGCCGTTGTCGAACTCGAAGCGGGTTGGGTCGGATTGTGCAAAACCCGAAGCGGTTCGGGTTCTGGTCCGGAAAACCGACCAGCATGCAAAAACAAGCCGGGTTCCTGTTGACCCGAATAATGCCGGATCAGTTCCAGATTATTGGTTGGTATCTCGTATCCATCTCACCATCAGTTACTGTGTGATTTTTCATTTTTCACATACTGTAATACATTCAGCCTGCATGCAATATGTTCAACAATTTTTGCATTTAATTTAACTTCCCTCCGCCAATCTTTTTGTTGTTTTAGAAGGTTTAGATGAGTACATGAATTTGGTTCTGGATGATGCTGATGAACACAATATTAAAAAGAACACGATAAAACCATTGGGTGATTCTTACTTGCATTTCTCTTTCGTTTTTCCATTACTCAGCTCTGCTTCTCACAAGAGCTTGTCTGAGCTGCGTGCAAGGAAATGGTGACAGCTTATCTTTGATTTCCGCATTCTTGGTTTGAAAGCTGAAGTCTTGCTTTGGGGATTTCATTCCCGGGGCCAGATTTGAAGGAAAGTTGGATCTTGGCTGCAATGGCGCCGTTATTCCATTGGTGGGTGAAGGAGAAAGATAGAGGCACGCCTGTGATCCTGAAAAAGGATAACTTGAGAGATACCATAGTAGTAGATCAAATTTTTTTCTTGTCAGCTGGAACTTCCAAGCCCATGAGTCCAAGCAGGTTTGAGGCAGGGCCTGGAAGACCTTTCTGTGATGCGAAGGAATCAAGGAAGCTTTGCACTGGGTTCATGTCCACATCAACAGGTGTCAGATCTTCTTCATATGCGTGCTTCCCAGAGTATAAAAAACTCAAAGTTATCTAAGCATAGATGATTGAAACTCAAATGCAGTGAATTGTAACATTAAAATCTTCACATTTCAGAGAGATTATTCTGTGCGGTGTCCGAATGCGTTTGGAGGCGAATCCGATGCGCCACGCCACCCGGTGCACTGGGCCCCGGGCTACGTGGAGGGCAACGCCCCCGGAATAAATTTTATTTACTAAAAAATAAAATGATGAATATTATTTACTATTTGCTTGGAAAAATTTCTTAAAGACCATAGTATTTTAAAAATTTTAGGGGGTGCAATTGCTTAAAAACTCTTGTATCAAAGATTAAAAAATAGATTGAGGGGACAAATTACCTAAAGAATCATATAATATTTTTTTTTAAGGGGGGGCAATTGTTCCCCGACCTAAAGGGGTTCCACCCCTACTGGATGCACTCCAATTTGTTTTGGCTTGTATTAATCAACTGATAATATTTGTGATACTTGACCTTATTCAAATACATTTTGATTCTACTACTACTACTACTCTCTTTCTCTCTCTCATACTCACTTACAAAAGTTTCCATCAAAAACAAATACATCAAAAGGATGACCATGTCTTACTGGAAGCCCACTCAACAATTTAAGAGAGGAGGATGCAAAAATAAAGCTAACATGATGTTAACACCACCCAAGGAAAAATAATCACAAGGGGGTTAGGGAAATATGCCTAGCAATTAGTTAATCAAAATAAAAATTACTTACAATAGAAGCTTCCAATGGCCAACAAATCTCCATTTCAGTACACCTTAGTCCATAGTAGAATTTGTCACATCCATTTTTTGTTTCCTTGACCAAAACTAATTGGATTTGATGTCTGTTAAGTGATTCACCACATCTCGCATTGAAGGTCTCTCACTTGGCTCTTTTCTTGTGCACTCTAAAGCTAACATGACTACTTCGCATATTTCTTTTGCTACTTTGGATTCCAAAGCTTCATCCATTAAATCTGGATCAATGATCACGTTTATATCATTTATGCCAATCAAGCTTGATCTCACCCAACTAGCCAAGTCTGAGTTCTCGGAAGAAGATGGGTCTACTGCCATCTTTCTTGTTATCAGTTCAAATAAAACAATGCCGTAACTATAAACATCAGATTCCTTGTTCCTTCTGACAGTAAATGCAATCTCTGTAATGTTATGAAGAACAAAACAATTAGAGGATATGCCTGAAAGAAAACCTCAACTATGTACAAAACCTGCAAAATCAAATTTTATGATGATTTCAACAAGGTTTTTCGCGTATCGCAGACAATAACAAGAATTTTATGCTTAAAAAATGAAGTATACAATATGTTTAAGAGAACAAAATTTTGAAAATAATAGCGCAGATTCAGAATTCATACCTGGGGACATATAACCAATGGTGCCCATTATCCCAGTGGTGGTTGGGGTGGCTGAGAATTGATCCATGAACCTTGCAATTCCAAAATCTGTGATGTGGGGCTCCATTTCCGAGTCCAAAAGAATATTTTTTGGTTTAATGTCGCAGTGGATGATAGCTGGATTACAGTCCCAATGGAGGTAGGATAAACCTTGGGCAATCCCAATAGCTATTTTGTAGCGTAATTTCCAATCAAGAACTGGAGATGGCTTGATCTCATGCAACACATCATGAAGGCTTCCATTTTCCATATATTCATACAAAATTAATCCACAATCACTTTTCAACCAGAAATTCACTAATTTCATTAAATTCCTGTGTTTGATCTTTCCCAGTGTTCTAATTTCTGTCAACATGCTCACATTCGAACCCATCTGAACGCCAAAGACAAATTTCTTCACAGCATACACTTCTTCTGGACTTAATGAAGCCTTATAAACTGTTCCATGTGCTCCTCTACCTATGACATATTTCTCATCCATGTTCTCTGTCACCTCCATCACTTTGTTCAGAAGTAAAGAAGAATCTTCATGTAAAGAAGGAACTTCTTCTATCACTATTTTTTTAAGCAAGGGGCCCAAGCAACCTATTGCAAAAATCACTAATAAACAGAAAAGTAAAGAGCCAATAATTATTGCAACCAATCCAATCTTACTGAAAGAGCTTTTCGGCTTGCTGTTACATGGTTTTAAGATGGTTTGATTCAAGCAAGGTGAGCAAGAATCGCAAAGATCAGCATTTCCAATGAAAGAGCTTGGCCAAGTTTGCAGAAACTTGCGCAACCTTTCTGGTACTGGACCGGCAAACTGATTAAATGAAACGTTCACATAAATCAATGAGCTGAGTCCTCCCAATGGTTCAAGGCTTCCTGACAGATTATTTAGAGATAGATCCAAGCTCAGGATGTTATCTAAATTTGCCAACTGTGGAGGAACCTGACCTATAAGCCCATTACTGCTAAGATTCAAAGCTATGTTCAAACTTTGTAATGAACCCAATGAAAATGGAATTTGTCCACCAAGAACATTTCCTCCTAGTTGCAAAACTATTAGGTGATTAAGCTGTGACAAGAAATTAGGGATCCCTCCATTGAATTGATTGTCTTGCAATATAAACTGAGAGAGATCAGTTAGGTTTGCAAAGCTTGATGGTATTGAACCATTCAAAGAATTAAAACCCAGGTCCAAAATGAAAAGCCTTTTACAGTGAGAGATTTCAAGAGGTAGCTGACCATTCAAATTATTGTGAGAAATATTCAAGACTCCTAGTTGCTGTAAGTTACCTATTTCTCGAGGTATAAGTCCAGCGAGCTTGTTTCTTGACCAGTCTATCAAAGTAAGATTCACGCAGTTGCCTACTGTAGCAGGAATGCTCCCATCCAAATCATTCATACTTACATCCATATAGTTCAAACTTGATCCAATTGCCCAATTTGGTATATAACCAGTGAGATGATTATGACTAAGTATCATCCTCTTTAAGCTCATGCAGTTTCCAATATCTGAAGGAATGCTACCGTTCAGTAAATTAAGACCCAAATTCAAAATCTCCAACTTTCTACCATGACAAATTCCAGGTGGTATTGCACCAGTCAAGAAATTATTGGTGAGATCAATCTTCAAAAGGCTACTATTAATTCCAACACCCTGCGGTATAACTCCACTGAATTTGTTGCCAAAAAGAATTATTATCTTCAGATTTTTCAGCTCCACCATCTCTTGTGGGAGCTCACCAGAGAGTTCATTGTAAAAGATAGAGAGTTTCTGCAAATGAATTAGTTTACCTAGTTCTTTAGGAATTGTTCCTTCTAATTGATTTTCATAAATCTCTAAACTTGACAGCAAACTGCAATTGCCGATCTCAGGAGGAATTGGCCCCGTCAAAGAGTTCTCAAACAAATAAAGATCTGAAAGCTTAGTTAATAATCCAATGGAGGAGGGTATCTGGCCAGTTAAGCTATTGTTAGAAGCATCTAAAATACTCAAACTACTACAGTTTCCCATCCCTTCAGGAATTTCTCCTTCGAACTTATTATTTGACAAGTCCAACCATTGCAACTCCTTGCAGCTGCTTGGGATTAGAGGAATCCTTCCTGTTAGACCATTACTGCTAACAATAACGTAATTAAGGCCTTTGATTCTATTTAAACTGGTTGGAAGAGACCCTATCAGCTGGTTTTGGTCAAGATAGAGCTCCTCTAATTTAGTACAATTTCCAATCGAATCAGGCAAGAAACCAGACAAGAGATTATCACTCAACCATAAAAGGATGACCTTTCTCATTTCCCCTACACTTGGTGGGATAGTACCAGTGAGATTGTTCTGATTAAGGTAAACTATTTCCAGATTTGTAATTTGAAACAATGAATCTGGAATGCTTCCATGGAGGAAGTTGTTGAAGAGAGAGAGATGGGATAGCCTGCTTAAGTTTCCCAGGTTCTTAGGTATGTCACCAGACAAAAGGTTGTTTGAAAGATCCATGTATCGGAGACGTGTGCAATTTCCCAACTCTGGCGGGATTGAACCAGAGAGAGAATTGAAAGCAAGATCAATTCTCTCAAGATGATGCAATTGTCCAACCTCTGGTCCTAAGCTTCCTGATATCCCAATAAATGAAAAGTTGAGAGAAACAACATAACTACTTCTACCACAGTGGACTCCAAACCATCTACAAGGGCTTGAATCTGAAGATTTCCAGGTAGATTTTATGCCAGATGGCAATACAAGTGTTCTTGAAAGAGTAAGAAGTGACTTCCCTTCAGAGTTCAAGCCATATATATGATGAGCAAAAGCTGATAAGAGGAGTGTGCATTGCCACAAAAGAGAAGCCATCTAAAGTAGAAATGGGAACGGTTAGCTAAAAGAACACAAGCAATTCTAGAAAAGAAATTAATGTCTCATATAATACAACAAACATGAGTGAGATGATGAAACAAATGAAAGGAGGATGATAAGCAACGCAAACATGAACTAGCTGTGTTACTTCAAGGACATATACTGATTTGAAGTAGAACATGCAGTAAAGGAATCTAGATGAAGGAGAAAAGCATTGTTGATGAGTTTTATTCTTGCACTTATTTGGAAGCATTAGTTGTGAAAGGAAAGCAGACATTTTTAGCTCTCAATTTAGCTATATGGATGAATGAACAAAGTAAGGTAAATGATAAACAACAAATCAGAGGAGTAGAAGACTTGGTTATTATTATTGATTTGGCTGCCATAGAAGTGGGCGAGAAATGATTTTATGTAGAGGAAAGTGAAAGCTGGTGAAATCTTTTTATAACTGTAGGCTTTCATGAAATTATATCCACCATTGCTCTTACAGAATGCACGAAGTATAGTAAATCAGTAGCTATAAACACAAAACTAAAAAGTCTAAAAACAAAATACAAAAATAACCCAATCCAAGAACGATGAAAACCGTCGCTTCTAGTTAAAAAAGAGGGTTTTTTTTTTTTTTAACCACAAGATATAAGTAGCGGTGGGAGTTCCATTACCTTCTTACAGCTGCAAAATCGAAGCTTTTCACTCCTGTGTGCTCGGTTTTTAACCCCTCGGAGGAAAAAGAAGGCACAGGTCAAAGTGAGTTCGAATGCGGAGCAAAGGAGAAGAAGGCCTTCTATTTATTCTTTGATTTTCGAGAAATTTCTCCTCAAACAAACCATCACCTTCTTACAACACGCAAATTCGTATTTTTAATTGCCTCTGCCGTTTCGTAGCTTTCCTTCCCTCCTCGTCGTGGTACTGACCGTCGTCGTCAGTAAAATTTTACGCTCCACGCAGCAAAAGCAGCGACGACTTTGCAGTTGACTTTTCTCTGAAACTATGGATCAGTTGTTCTCCACTACTTTCGCATATGAATAGAGGGGAAGTAAGGAAGTAACCAGCTCACTTAACATATGTTGATTGGATATTTTTATTATCAATTAAGAAATTTTAAATTTAAAAATTGTTTATGTATTGTGTGTGAGTTTGACTAATTAGTTCAAAAGTTAAAAAAAAAATGTTTGACTTTTGTGTTCTAAACTATTGTAATTTGCTTTGGGAAGATTTTAAAAATATTAATATATTTTTTAATATTCAAAAACAAATAAATTAGTAAGATATAATAGGTTGTCACAGAAAAGTCAACTTCATTGTCATGTGGATGTGTCATCCACTTGAAAATCATTTTGTGTGGATATCAGATGTTGTTCGGAGACGAATCAAAGCGCACAACATCATGTTTTTGCTGTGTACTGTGGCTGTATACCGTTGTGTACCGGGGTGATGTGTCGCGCTCTGATTTGCCCCCGAACGATCGAGTGTCCTAATCTCTCCATCCACTTAAAGACTTAATATTTTTTATTTAACAATAACATCAATAATAACTTTTCATTTTTAAACACTCACAATAAAGCAAAGCTGTCTTTTTTCTAATCGGAGAAAATTTGTTCCTACTTCCACTTTTCTGTCTCTTTCTCTCTCTTTTTCTTGCTTTTCCAATTCCTTTTCTTCTAATCTTTCACCTTATCTTTCTACTGAGAAAAAAGATTATGAAAGTTTGAACATTCATTAGCAATAAACTCATTTTAAAACATCTTAGTTGATTTTTAATTAACAGAAGGCAGTCAACCCACGGTTGTTGCCTCACGGCAGTTGACAAAGAAAAGAAGTAACGGTGTTAAAAATTAAAAAAAAAATTATGCATTAAGATTTAGGCACATTTCAGGAGGTTGCAAATGTAATATTTTTCATTTATAGGGTGTTGAAAGATATTGAATTTTAATTCAACTTGAGAAAGGGGGATTGGTGATTTAGATGTAAATATATTGTCTTCTCACTTTTTTTTATTGTAACATTGAGTATTTACGTGTGCCTTAACAGATTTGTGAACGAATTAATAGTGCACTTAGATTAATCAGAATCATATTAGGATATTAATCACAATTCTGATATAATTTATATCCTTTAGATCTATTAAATTTTATGTTCACCATAAGCCATAACTTCAAAGTTGAATTAAATTGTTTTTTATTTATATCTTAAATATACATTTTTTATAATATTTTATGGCAAGAAGCAATGGAAATCACAACTAAAATTTTGAATCAGGACGCTGACGAAATTATCAAACTTAAAAATTTTATGATGAGACTAAGGCCATCTCCAACTGATATACTCATTTTACACTCTAAAGTACAGCAACTCATCTCCAACCGAATTATATTTCATAACATCAAAAAATAATATACCGAGTATATTCTTTCTCCAACCAAATAAAATGGCTAAATAATAGCGTAATGTTGTTGAATCTAGCGTTCTATTGGAGCTCACAGTGACTGCAAACGATCATTTGGGGTTCGGCTGGAAATGATCTTAAATAGTGCAACACCTATATTTACGTCGAGTTGTTCACGAACACCATTTTTTCGTTTTGGAGTGTAAAATACACATTTCAGTTAGAGATGGCATAAGGCTTTGTTTGGAACAAATTTCTTACTGCTCTCTAAAACGGTTATTTATTAAAAAAAATTTTGAAAGCAACAAAAAAATAGTGACAAAAAATTATCCCAAACGAAATCAGGAGAGCAAGCGGGTAAAGCAGAAGAGGTGGCCACACCAATTGTTAAGAGTAAAATGACTATACTTATTATAATAATATAACTATTTAGAAAAACTTATACTACTGTCCAATACAATAATATATCAAACATTCCTGGCAATGAGGACAGAGCTTTTGATAGGGAAAAAAAAAGTATAACTTGAGAGATACCATAATAGTAGATCAAATTTTTTTCTCGTCAGCTGGAACTTCCAAGCCCATGAGTCCAAGCAGGTTTGAGGCAGGGCCTGGAAGACCTTTCTGAGATGCGAAGGAATCAAGGAAGCTTTGCACTAGGTTCATGTCCACATCAACAGGTGTAAGATCTTCTTCATCTCTGTGCTTCCCAGAGTATGATGTGCCCTACACAGTTAAAAAAAAAAGCTCAAAGTTATCTAAGCATAGATGATTGAAGCTGAAATGCAGTGAATTGTAACGTTAACATCCTCATATTTCAGAGAGATTATTCTGTGCGGTGTCCGAATGTGTTCGGAGGCGAATCCGGACGCGCCACATTCGGGCGATGTGGCGCGTCCGGATTCGCCTCCGGACACTTTTGGACACCGCACGTAATAATTTTTCCACATTTCAAGGGTGGACATCAATTCATTAAAAACGTCCAACTAATCAAAATCAGAACAGGATTTCTCATAGTAATATATGCCTCTATGATGCAGATCTCAAAAGCAGAAGCAATATTGTTGGCAAATCTAGTAGTGCAGCGCAAGTCCCAGCCAAAAGGACAGGTTTAATGGGCCATTATAAAGATCTATATTTTAGTTGACTGGATAATGTCATTTTGATAAAAGTTCAACTGGAAACTACGACAGTTCCTGTCTTGGTGGTTGGTACTTAGTATCCCACGTAAAAAAAAAAAAGGAAACTACGGCAGTTTGACCAACTATAATCAGAATTAGTTTATGCCTTGTTGGCTGGATGCACTTCAATTTATTTTGCCTTTGTATAAATCAACTGATAATACTTGTGATACTTAATATTACTAAACATTACCAATATTATTCAAATACATGTTGATTCTCTCACACACACAGAGACACACACACACATATACACACACGCTTCAAAAGCCTTCATCAAAAAATAATACTTCAGAAGGATGGCCATGTCTTACTGGAAGCCCCCTCACACAGGCTTTATAAGTCTCCATAAAAAACAAATACTTCAAAAGGACGGCCATGTCTTACGACACTTACCGGAAGCCCACTCAACAATTTAAGAGAGGGGGATGCAAAAATAAGAGACTGTGGGTGCTTCGGATTTGGTTGTTTTCAAGCATAAGGTAAATTCATTGAGTCGACATGGAAAAGGGTCCAATAGTAGCATGGTTGTTGTAATAGTGAAAATACAAAGTCAACCTATAAGATTGACAATTGAAGATAATGATACAGTGAACTGCGGAGCATCATGTATCTCCATGTCAAGATGTAATACCCTGAATCGAGGTCCTGTAACGCAAAGATGAACGAGTTTCTTGTTTCCTAAAGTACGTGAAGAAGAAGACATAAGTGAAGAAGCTGAAGAAGATGACTCATTTCGTAGCTCGATTGACATTGATTCAATCACTTGGGGCCACAGAAGACATAGGCAAGGAAGACGAAGAAAGGCAAAGCATTTGTTCCATAGTCTAGAGTCACAGGTATACAATGAGGCCGAAGGAGGCACCAATTGGAATCGAAAGAGAGAATGCCATTTCCATTGTTTGAAGAAACTAAAGGGAGATAAAACGTCCGAAAATGAGCTTGTCAGTTTCATCGGTTTCGTCTCTTAATTTGAAATAAGACACTACCCTGAGATTTCGCCCTCATTTTGAGGGGACATTATGATTTGAGTTCTGGTTTCCTATAAGCGCAAGTCCCTATAGTTAATTACCTCTCCCGATAACGAGAGAGAGCTTTCAATTAAGACTAATAGTCAAATGAATACAGCATACCCGTAGATACGTAATATCCGGCATAATAGTAGAAGCATTGGTTGATATTTAAAAACTTTATATTTAAAATTTGAAATTTCACCATCTTGCACTTAAAGCGGATTGTGGGAGGGAATTATGATGAACCCGATCAAGATCTTATGGTCCTGTTGTCCCGGGCCATCGTGGTCCCTGGTCTACTTAGTCAGAGGAGGTAGTCAACCCAACCTGATAATCAACCATGGGTTGCTTCGTTCAAGAGTACCTTGCAGACCTTGAGTGAGTATTTGTTTAAGGGGACAAATTTGAAACCACCTTAACTAACAGAGGGCTTCGTGCCCTATTGATCATATCCTATTGATTCATATCTCAAAGATTTAATGTCATTAGAGAGCATACGGGCTCTGGCCATGACCGTAATATAATTGTGCCATTTGGTAGCAAACCACCAGTTTCATAGGGCCTTTACTTGTGGTGCCATTTAGAAGTGAAACCTATGGTGTGGTGTTATTTGATGATGAAACCACCGGTTACAGATCACATGCCACGTCCTTACAGACAAGAGATAGATTGAAAATGAATCCTAGTGATATTCTCAACTAGACATTAACTCTTTGTTAGCTAGAGTAGTTTTCAGATTTGTCCACTCTGTCAAACTGTTGCGGAGGGTAGATGGTGTTTGCTTTAACCGTTTTATGGTTGAATTTTGATTTTTAAATATTCTGAATTTTAGGATTTTGAGTTTTGAATTTTGTGGGTATTTGGGTGACATTTCGAATGTTTGGAATTAATCCATCCGGTTGAGCTTTACGTTCAACACGACTGTCATCAATGTGACTTTGAGGTCATTTAAAAATATTTGTATTTTGTGGAAGTTCCAGGGCATTTGAAAATATATGATCTCCTCCGATTGAGATAAACATTCAACACGACCATCATCGGAGAGTTCATGAGTTGTTTTCATCTTTGTTCATTGAACATTGTCGACTCTGTCTACTTACTGACAGAGGATTGAGTTCGAATCTAAATTCATTTCTTAACATGTGCAGCCTTTTCAAACGTCATATATGTATCGACAATAAGCTCGCTGAGGCTCATCTGTGTGTATGTTGTTGGATGTATTTCGCAAGAAGCGTTCACATATGGACATGATATGATTTTTGAAATACAATCGTAGTGTTGAGTGATACAAGAGAGTGAAACCCTCTGCATATGCGGGAGGGCGATTTTTGAAGTGCAATTACAGTGTTAAAGGACATATTATAGTGAAACCCTATGCATCTTGACAATACATGCGGTGATGCGGGAGATCATTTTGGAATGTAATTGTGATGTCAAATGACACATTAAGGTAAAACCCTCTGCATATATGAGAGGACAATTTTTGAAGTGTAATTATAGTATCAAATGAAATATTAGAGTGAAACCCCCTGCATATCACCAATACATGTGGGAGGTCATTTTGGAATGTAACTGCAATGTAAGATGACATGCTAAAGTGAAACCCTCTGCATATGCGAGAGGACGATTTTTGAAGTACAATTACAGTGTCAAATGATATACTAGTGTGAAACCCTCCGTATATCACCAATACATATGGGAGGTCATTTTGGAATATAATTGTGATGTCAGATAACACAATGGAGTGAAACCATCTTCATATGCAGGAGAACGATTTTTGAAGTGCAATTATAATGTAAAATGACATACTAGAGTGAAACCCTCTGCATCCTAACAATACATGCGGAAGATCATTTTGAAATGCAATAGTGATGTCGGAATGACACGCTAGAATGAAATCCTCAGCATCCTAGCGATACGTGCAGGAGTTCACTTTGAAATGTAATAGCGATGTCAGAATGACATGCTAGAATAAAATCCTCAGCATCCTAGCGATACGTGCCTAAGGTCATTTTGAGAATGTAATAACAATGTCAAGACAACATGCTAGAATGAAATCATCTGCAACCTACAATTGCATACCGGAGGTCACTTTGAAATGTAATAGCGATGTCGAAATGACACGCTAGAATGAAATCCTTGGCTTCCTTGCCTGAGGTCGTTTTGAAAATGCAATAGCAATGTCGAGACAACATGCTAGAATGAAATCCTCGACACCCTACAAATGCATATCATGACGCGTCGCGCGCACCGACAGTTAATTTCGTCACCGATTTTGCTCCTTTACGTGTGTAATTGATATATAGGTCAACATTTGTCCATGTGAGTATGTTGTTCCTAATCATATTCATGCTTCATCAGATCAGTTGAAAAACTTGCATATCTAGTTTACATTAATGTAAAGGGGCATGGGGCATGTTTCTTATTAGATTCTTCTTTACAAAGAAGGGTCATAATTTTAGGAACAGATTACTAAAGCATGATCCTTGCCCAAAATGACGACTTTCAGAATATGTAACAGATGAAGCATTATCCCTAAGCTTTGCTTCTAGAAGGAGTTGATGCCATCCTTCAATTAGCTACCCTCTTTTTTGCTCAAGCCTTCTATGCTATATAATACTCAGTAAGGAGGTAGTCATGTAACAATTATTCTTTAATAAATTTGCATATTTTCGGTGTTCTATAAACTCTAATTAATTTAATCATTGTTTGTTGATGCGTGCTATATTTTGCTATCCACATAAAAGCCATTGCTATTCTCACAGGGTGAAGGAGATAATATGTAAGTGTGCCCCGACTTTTCATTGTTTTTTTATCTAACGCATACAAAACTGTATTACATGCACTTGGAAATCAAAACAACACCAGATGGAACCTTGAAAAAACAGAATTAAATGAAATAAAACCTCAACAGATTCATGCATTTGGAAGATAAAGCGGGTTAAAAGGAGTTAAAGAGAGACGCAATGTTTATGCAGAATAAGCAAAATTGTCATAAGACGGTGGCAAGCAAATATAACAACAATATATTTGATTAAGGAGCTGAGATAAAAGCTACCTCATCCTCCATGTTGGACTGTCTTGGGGCACGAATAAAACTTTTCTCCAAAACCGTAGAGCTTAGTTCCTGATTGAGAGCATCAGAGTAAGACTGCATAAAAGTATCTTCAGTGTCATCATATGGAGTCCCTTCACCAATATCACTGTCTTCTTCTGAATCTTCTGCAAGATTATCATGCAGAAAAAAACTCGTGATAAAAAGCCGAGGCTATCAGTGATGCAGGACTAAAAGTACGAATGTAATGTTTGTAAAGATTTGCACAACTCTTGATTAGAATAGCAATGATGAAACCATTAGCATCTTGAAACAACGAATAAAACAAGAAAGGGGTCACACCCGCTTAGGCTAAATCACAGAACCAGAGAGTTGGAAAACTTTCAAAATAAATTAGTAAATCACTTTATGCCAAAATAGTAGCAATACAATCCCTAATCTAGCAATGAAAATTAATAAGCATAAAGGCACACCCAAAACCCTACGTTTACTAAGCTTAGCAGAAGCAGGGATAATCGTCCTACGTGACTACAATCAAGCACAAGAGAAAGTTAGATTTAAGAAATATATTGAAAGGGGAAAAGAGAAACTCTCGTCAAGGAGCGGTGGAGATTCTCCACTCAATGCATTCAAAATGCTCGTCGATGGCTTCCACTAACGTGTCCAAAATACGCTCTAGGTAGTCTTCGACGGTGTGGTCAACCCTCGTATTAATGTCGAAGAAAGTTGATTGAAGAATATCGGTTAAGTCGTCCTTGTCGAAGGTTAAGCCGTATTCCATTTCTGGATCCGCCATTCATAGGAGCTAGGTAACAAATCACCTCTCGTCTTGATAGTGTTCTTAAGTAATGACGAAGAGAAAGAAGTTTCTCTTGTAAGTGGAGAGAAGAAAAGACCCCAAATCTCCTCCCAAAATCTGAGAACAATTTCAGATTTTATCCCAAAACCTGAGAGAAAATTTCATATTTCTCTATTTAGAAGATAGAGAAATTGGAGGGAGAATTAAGGTTTTGAATTCAAGTGGGGGAATTAATGAGGGAGAGGGAGTTTGAGAGAGGGAGGGGTTCGGGTATAGAGGGATTTCGGGTGGGGAGAGGGGAGGCCGGCGGCACTAAGGGGATGGGGAGGGATTTCTTTCCAAATTCTTGAATTAGGATTTGAAAAGTAATAATGGGATGGAGGTTTGTAATTTTCGGCCAAGGAGAGAATTATGGGTTTTGAAATTATTTCCTAAGTGGGGAGTTGGGATTAGGAAATAATTTAAAAGGGATTTAATGAGGGAGGGCAAAGGGAGCCGGCGGCATTAAGGATGAGGGGGAGCAATTAGTGGAGGGGATTAAGGTTTCTAAAATTGGGATTTGAGATTAGGAAAGATTTATTTAAAATCCTCTTGAATTTAAAATTCAAAATAGATCTAGAATAAATACTTTCCTAAAATAGAAGAGTTAATTTAGGAAAGATTTTGAAATCAAATTCAAAATTTCGAACTTCAAAATTATCCCAATTAATCTACGACCCAATTACGAAACACAAGGGGAAAGAGAAGTGGGGGAGGGGGCTTGACCGACGGCTAGGGAATTGGAGCCGGCGGCATTGACGGTTCGGGTATGGGGGTTTGGCCGTGGGGTTGGAAGGGGAGGAAGTGGACTCGGGTGAGGTGGGAATCCGGCGGCTAGGTGAGGGTGGAAGGGAAAGGAAGGAAGAAGGAGATACAAGGATGGAACCACGAACCCGACTTATCTAGGTTGGTGGGTATTGCGCAATTCTCCCTCTCCGAGGGATCTCTCTCCGTTAGAACTCTCAAGCCCATGCAAGAACTCATGCAAGAAGAAATTTTGTAATCAATCATTCATTACCTTGAAAATAAAACATGAGGCTATAAATAGTCAAGTACATGGGACTCATGAATAATAAAAGACACAATTGCCCTCCGGGCTTACATACGACATCTCTCACTAAAAGGGTACAACTGGAAAACAAATACATGACACTGAAAATAGAAAAATACATAAATAAGAAAATAACATAAATAACATAAATAACTCAAAAGTACAAAGACTCGATCGTAGACGTAGATCAGCGGCCATGCCTCTGATAAACCTTTCACGAACTGATGTCCCCATCAATCAGAATATTTAATCTTAATAAGAACATAAAAGGTTAGAGCCACAAGAGCCAACGAAGATAACATGGCATGACTTCTAGCCATACACAAAATATGAACCGTGATGATGATCATCAACAACTCTAACTAACATCAACACACCTATGGCCTCAACTTTATGAATCCTTACTCTCCATTCATATATTTAGGTGTTGTTTTGAGATTGATTTGATGGAAATCTATTTGTATAAATACTAACCATATCGCCAGTACCCTACCCCTTTACTTCCTAATTTTTCATATTAGTTATATCTAACTGCCTTATTTGTGTATCTACTCCCACCCTTTTTATGTGCTAAAATCACCTACATCTATTTTAACTATCACATCTTGAATAGATTAACTCCCACCGTCTGTCAAACTAAATCATCTCAATCGATCACTCCTAGTTCTACAATATATATAAAATGCTCACTTTTTGACCTAGTCAAGTTAATTATAAGTGAATTCTACATCGCCCAATACTCTAATTCATATATAGAGACAGTTGATTGCAGTTTTATAATATTCAATAAATCTTTATAATTCTCTCGTCATTTAGAACTTCAATAGCATTTATTTTAATAACCTAATCTTAACACTAAATATTATATACTCAAAAAAAGGAACCACTTGAGCAGCCAACAACATTATCAAACAATTATCAAATTTACTACCACCACAATAGCATATCATATATTTAATTTTTTTTTTCTAATTTTAAACGCCTTATATTCTATAGATATCATCTATTATCTTTTACTTCTCATTTATTTCAATAAAGGAAAACGAATAAAACTACACCATTTGAAAATAGCATATAGTATATTTTATAAGCATTCATGACCAATACAAAGGGACGCTTAAGACATGTTAATCCCTGATGTAATCTTACTATGATCATAAAATCCTTGGTCAAACTACTTTTAATACTAGTAATAATCCATTGTGCATCCATAATAACTTTTAATTAGCCTTCACACACATATTTCTTACTTAAGGCGTACTACTAGTTCATATTTCTTTAAGATAAATAAAATTTATGTAACGATCATTTATTTAATCTCTAATTTTTTTATTAATTTCTGAAGCACAATGATTGTCACTAAAGTGAATCTTCTAGGAATAAAATCTGACTGATTCTCCATAATCGGAGTTTAATAAACTAATGTTCCATTACACTTTACAAAATGTCATTGTATGACTCATAATTTTAATTCCATTACAATTATCACAATCATGCATGCTTCATGTATTATTAATTACTTGTATCAAAATATTCCTTGTCCAATCATTTAGCATTTTTTAATAATTTAAGACTCCATTAGAAATATTTGCTAAACAAACAAATTAAATATATATCATACCCAATAAATTTCAATGGGTATCTTATATGGGCATGGATTTTACCATTATGTGTTTTCTTTAAAATTAATACAATTTCTTTTTTAGATTTATACAAATGATATATTATAGATTTGATTTATTATGTGGCTCTGAGAAAGTTTTTCTCCCTTAAAAAACTTTATAATTTCTCAAAATAATTTTTTTCATCTTTCAATATATATATATATATATATAATGAGCTTACAAGAGAAATCATCAAAACTTAAAGATTTTGATTTATTACTACCCCAATGCAAGGAACTATTTTAAGCTTTAGTGTTGTCTACATTTTACTATTCTTTAAGACCAAATCTTCTTTAATAACATTTCGTATCTCCTCACCAAACCTAGTGGTGAATCTAGGATTTTGGTATGATGTGAAGAGAATAATAGAAACATATTTCTCAGACTTTTTATATTTGTATGTATGTGTGTAGGTGGGGGTAGGTGGGGAATCATCCCACCTTGTTATGCATCCCTCAGTTTACCAATACCACAAGATCTTCTCATATAAAAATTATTTCTAGCTTGTCCAAAAATTGTAATAATAATCCTACAACATCATATTGTGTTTAACTAAAGAATAATCTATGTCACTCTTAAACTAATAAAAGATCACCAGCTACTCACTCTTTAAATTCAATCATCTAAGATGAGCATTCACAACTGCTATTCCGTATTATATAACCAACCTTCCTCCTCGAATCACCTTAATCTTTACAAATCAACTTTTTGAAAATAACTAATCACTCTTCTTGCTTCTTAAAGAATGTATTATTTAATGCAATATCATATAATAATGAAAAATTAAATAAAAATTCTCCCATCAATTTCTATCACCTATTAATAACCTTAATGCCCACTCAATTTTGTTCATATTTGAATGATTCCAAATCAAATTTTTAGATAATAAATTGGATATTAAATAAAATACTACTCAAATCCTGACCTTTTGCAAATACTTTATATTTCAATTCTAGGCTTTCCATAGGCACAAACCAATATTTTAATTGCCTCTTTCAATCGTGAGAGAGAACTTTTGATTAGTTTTATAGAATTTATAATGCCTTAATAACAATAGTTTGGATTAGGAAAACAAAAATATACAATTATTAGGTCAAATAGAAAAATGGGAGAATGACAACAAGCTTGACTAAGATCTAATGACATTTTTATCCTCGAATGTCATGGACCCTATTCTTTAGTTAGTAGAGGTAGTTAGTTGACTAGATTTTCCCAAATAATCACTACAACAACTATAAGTTGTACCACCCAAAGGAACATAACAGATCAAAGAAAAAGCTAGCCTAAAAAGTTAATATTAAGCCAATCTTTACTAGCAAAGGACCTCGTGCCTTGTCCAATTTGTCGTATGGGTCAAAACTCATTGACTCAACAATTGGGGAACATTTAAGCATAGATTGTAATAGTAATATGATGGTGTTATAGTAATTAAGCTGATCATCCTATTAAGAGTCCATGCAACATCCTTACTAACATAAGATTTTTTTGTGTGATCATATAGATGGATTTGATATGTATTAGGTATTTTTATCTTTAGTCAAACTTAAATTTACATACTTGGCAATTTGAAGCCAATGATGGATGGATTATAACTTTGAGCATTAAGTGACTGATGCTCGAGCTTTTCCAATGCCTTTTTGTCATAATTATTTTTAAATAGTGGATTGAATTTGAATGAAGCTCCCTTCAAATGATTATGCCAATCATCGAAAGAATAACCCAAAAGGTATCTTCCTTGAAATTTAAGAAGGCATTATAATGATGATAATCCCTTCGAATTAGCATTAGTGATGATCATATCCATTATAGGGGATAATTGCTCAAAGTGTTTTTCTTTATGATCGCGAGCTTGATTTTAGCATGGAGCCATTTTGAATATAATATTCAGATAACATAGCCTATCATCAAAGTGAAGCTCGAGTGGCTAATTTTTTATGACTAAAACCTTAATTTTGATCATAAACCTCTTTGATTATAATATTCTAACAAAAAAAACCCATCATTAGGGTAGGAACCTCAAAGTTAAAGTTGGGACCCCCTTAGATTGAAATCTTCAATCCAATCAAACTTCTTAAACTACTTATAAGTTTTATTTAATTTTCATTGTTGAGGTTTATTAGATTAAAGAAGCTTGGGAACATGTTAAGTAGGCCATTAAGTGTGCAAAGTAGGGGCCTTCTCCATACGGTTGTCTTTTATTTTGTTGGTGAGGCTATTGAAAACTCAGAAAGCATGACCATCTTTATCCCATTAAGCCCTACACTAATGATTGGTCATTCTTTCACTTTTCCAACTTGATTTGCCAACTCTTTGCAATCTCTAGAGTTCTTCTTGCTTGATCTTCAAAATTTTTTACTAATCAAATTAAATGACCCTAGAGGGTTTTACTTTTTAAGCATTTGAGATTTGTGTCAACGTTGACTACTCTATTTATAATCCTCTAATAACCTTGCTTATCATTAGGTTAGCTTTTAATTTTTTTATAATTCAATGTATTTCATGCAAGGTAAAATTTACGGCATATGTATTATCAGAAACCCCTCTAATTATTATTAGCAATAATCTTGCCCATCATAAGGGTGAGAGGCCTGCACAAACTTGTTTAGGTTTATTAGAGCTAGACTAACAGCAAAAAAGAATTTGATTTAACCATGACTGATCCAAAGAATATAGCTCAAAGGGATCAATTTGATCTTGAAACCTATCAGCACATGACTGTTTGTATAAGTTGGTGACTCTTCAAATTTATCTTTTGCTTGTAAGCTTTTGATTTTCAATGTCAATGATCTTCAATATTTGCCTCGTCATGTGAAGTTAGCCCGAGAATCTTATTTGTATTACTCGATAAACCACCATTGATAAGGATTATCTGGGTCATTAATAAATTAATCAGATTTGAGTAGAGGGGTCTCCTAGGTTTAAGCAATCTTACAACCTCTTATTTATTTTGGATAAATATCACTTATTTTTTTAGGGTAGTGTCTCCTTTGTCACTCATATATAGAGGATCGGGCTTATAAATTGTGGAGCTATGAAACCTATGGGCTCTACCTTTTGCATGTATTGTATCAAAATTTGGATGGTTATTGGGCTATGGGACTGATAGGAAACACTTGGATTTCCAAGTGTTTCTCACCAAAACCAACTAGATCCAAGATGAAAACTGCTGTCCACAACAGTAAAACAGCCAAAAACAGTAGGAAATGGGGAAAATCTGAGCGAAAAACTGAAGAAACGACTTGTATTTTACTACTAGATGCAAGGAAAATAGTAAAGATACAAGGATCCTCTATTCGAGAGGAGGATCGCACTCTCCCAATCTCTAGATCTTGATCTAGAGCCCTCACTATCCAAGAAGACAAAAGAAATTCTCACAAAAACATGACATAACCCTAATCCCCCTCTTACTCCCTACTTAATGCATTCTAATTCAAAACAAAAGCAAAAGGACCTCTCTACCCTTCCTTCTCTCTCCAAAAATACTTCAATTTTGTTTGAATTCCAAGTGGACCCCACTCCCGAGCTCCCCATCGTTTCCGCCCGTCCGCTGTCTCGCGATCGCGTGCTGTCCCGCGATTTTTTGTCGCCTGGAGAAGACCCGGACCGGCTTGGCCGGTCCAGGTTGGACCGGCCTAACAGGGACCTATTGAATCTATACTTTACAAATAGAGGACTAGGGTTTGGAAGGTTATTGGGCTATGGGCATTGTATGTTCTACCCTAGCATATAAAGGATTAATCGGGCTTTGGATCAATGTTGGTCTAATGGGTTTGTTGCCTCTATCCTTCCTATGTAACCCATGAACAATTATTGGGCTATGGGTACACTTACTTCCGCCTATATGTTGAGTAACAAGTTTAGAAAAGGACTTATAACTCCATTAATGGAAAAACTCAAGGTTGAAACTTACGACCCAATTCTATCGACAAGGAGGCCTATAGAGTTCTCTTGTTTAATTGAAAATTTTCCATTAGAGACATGAAAGCTTTCAGGAAAATTATAGTCAAATATTTCAATGAGACATACAATTGAATTGTCAATACTTAACCCGTGAAAGAAAAAAAAATCCAGTTCAATTGGAGGTGCAAAAGTTACAATTATTCTTTTTGTAAGTTAGTCAGTTAATAGAGTGTAAGCTTTACCAGCTCCACCACTCGCATGTGGGGAATCAAACCTAAGCAGACCCCATATTTTCCCATATATTTATATATAATTTTTATGTTTTTTAGAGTTTTAAGTATTCATATAATTTATGCAAGGAGGAAAATATAGGATTGTTCTCATCAACACAATCTTGAAGGCACCTGGAAAACTAAACATTACTCCTTTATCTGCTTGAAATTTTTGAAAAATAAATTATAAGAGAAAAAAATCCAAAAAATAAAAGTATATACTATTCCGCATTGTCTTTTCAAATCTCCCTTTTTAACTTTGTTAAAGTACGTGATTTTTTTTTCCCAATTATTTAGTCCACTAAAATCTACTCATTCAATTCAAAGTCTACAAAATCCATATAATAGGTTTAATATTAGTTTTAGACTAAGTCAATTCTTATTCATATTTTATTATAATCAAAAGCATGCATAAGGAACACTCGGTGCATAGGCTTTCCCCAAATGAAGGGTTTAGAAAAGGACTAATGCATGTAGCCTTATTCCGGCAAAATAGAGATGTTATGTTTGTGATTCAAATTTGTAACTTTAACCTCAACAGGGGAAAATAAAATAATAATAAGATAAGAAAATGGCATTTTCCATCACTAAATTCCCAACATGTTATTACATAAAAAAACTCTGCTATTCAGGTTCTATGAATATTGGTACCTAGCGCAAAAATACGTTTAACAGAACACATAATCTATAACAAGTCCAAAAAAAAGCCTATAAAACCAGATCACTTGAACATGATGAATAGTTATGGCCATGCCAGAGACTCATCAAGGCAGGTGAATCTACCAAAGAAGAAGATAAGTGATTTCTTAAGTTTTTCAGAGCCTTCTTAAAAGTACTCTTATAAAATAATACTTCAGTAATTTTATCATCACTAGCTATACACAATTACAGAACATTACCCAACATGACTACCAATGGCTACTTTAATGAAAAATTGAGTCAATTTGAATTCTATTTAGGTTTTGCTCGGTTTGTTGAAAAAGGAATGCGGCGTAAATGGAATGCAATATATTTGAAACATTTTAAAAATGTTTGGATGAGTGCAAAATAAATGCATAAAACATCTTTTTCCTGGATTGGTTTGAAGTAAAATGAAATGTAGTGTAAAGCTCAATGATAGTGGCGGCTTGTGGCCGGCAACAATGGCAAGCAATGACAATCAATGGCAATGGTGGTGAGGTCGACGGAGGCAGGCCGGCCGGAGGTTGGACTCGGTCGACGGGATGAGGAGATTTGGAGGCAGGGAAGGAGTTCACAATCTTCAACGGCTTGGAGAAGGCGGAGGGTGACTGCTTGTTGAAGTTCGAATGGGGGGAGGCAGGCGTCGGAGGCAAAGAAGAAGACTGGTGTTGTCCGGCGGAGTTCGATCGGCTATGGCAGAGCGACGAATTGAAATCCCAAAGTAAGTTTTCTGAAACTTTCTTTCCTCTCTGTCAGTATGCGTTTTTGTGAGCGTTCGAGCCGAATGAGAGGAGTTTCCTATTTTGAGTCGTGAGGAGCGTCGGTTGTGCGATCGTGGGAGGTTTCGTGGCTGAGGTGGAATGAGTGGTTGAGTATCGTGGGTAGTTTGGGGGCTTCAGTCGGTTAGGCACTTAGGGCCGGTTTGGTCCGAACGGAGGTATTGGGTGAGTTGGCTATGAAATTTGGTTCTTATGCTACAGTTACAGTCAACATTTCAAATACAGCAAAATTAAACTAGGGTGTAAATTCCAAATACTTCATAATTTTACTCGGCATTTTTTTTTTAGTCCAAACTAAACACCATAATTTTTCAAAACTCCTAAATTTAGAATACTTTACACCTATTTCACTTCAAACCAATCATCCCCTTAATTTTCCTTCTATGTTTTTGAAATAGACATTTTAAGTAAAGAAAGTTTAAGTTTAGCTTTTTTAAATAGAATAACTTATTTCTTGAAAGTTTAATAGCATGTTTTGAAAAAAAAAAAAACCAAACCTATTTGGATTAAGTAGAATAATTAAGTATTAGTTTGTTTCAATTAAGATCAATAAGGCTTAATTTGTGCTTAATTGTAGGGGATAATTTATATATTAATTAAACTCTAATGTGGCTAATATAAAATGTAATAAAATATTAGCAACCTGAGAAGTTATTAATTAATATGAGGGTAGGGATTAAATAGGATTTGAATAAGATAATTACAGATCAAATTGTCTAATTAAGAATGGATTATTTATAATTTCAATTTTGGTTTTGAAATGATTCTCTATTTCCATTTTGTAAACAATGAATAAGCAAGATCATCCAAATAAAAAAACAAAAATCAAACAAATAAAAAAAGAAAAAAAAAACAAAAATTGCCCATGTAAAATGATCTAATACCAAGTAGAAACTAAGTATATAAGCACAATGCAGGCATACCAAAATCCATATCTGAAGATGAGTTAAGTTCTTCTAAATCAGCATCAATTGAATTTCCTTCTTGCGGTGCAGGCCCAAGAACTGATTCCATTTCTTTCAGAAACAATTCAGCATCAAGCTTTACATCCTTTGACCTTTTGTAATTAAAGAAAGAAACAAGTTATCATTCCAGCAGTTACAATGAACTAACAGGCATGCACAAAAAAATCAAAATAAAGAGTTCTAGACGAGCATAGAAAATTATAGGTGCCACATTTGCACACAGAAGACTACTAGAGGAAAAAACCTATAAACCATTCATACAAAAAATTCAATGGAGTATAAATACTTTAATTAAAGAGGAGTGTTAAACAAGACCAGTTATCTAGACTGATATGATTACATGCACGTATTCATAATTTAGTTAAGCATAACTATAGCTTACTTTTCCATCCTTCAATAATTCTCATTTTCGTTACTCTCATATTAAGATATTTGCTATGTTTGCTCACTCAAGTCAATATATTTTAAATGCCATTTGACCATCTCTTAAAAACCAAATCATAACAGCAAGTTGAACTGGAAACAGGTTTGCAGGCCAGTCCAGTAAATTTTCAAAACCGGCTTCGCAACAAAACCGGCATGAACTACGTTGAACCAGCGATTCGACCAGTAAACCGATGCCAGTTTTTAAAAACCAAATAGTTTTTTTATTAAATTATTTATATAATTGAATAAATTAATTTCATAAATTTAATATAAAATATTTAACTTAATGAATTAATTTAAATTTAATCTATTTTAATTTTAAAATAAGCATTATATTTTTATGATAACTATTTTTCGAATAAGCACCAAACAAACTTTATCAAATGGCCCCACCATGCCATGTGACTTCTTCTGCTCATGTGAATCCAAAAAATTATATAAACAATGCCAATACATAGCACCCAAGTGATGTCGACGTGTCATACAAAAGAACCAAAATAAAGCTTTCATGTTCAAAATACATACACTACATATTTTTAATTAATTATACTTAATTTTTTATCTATTTAATTCTTTATGTATTTAATTATATAATACAATAATTAATTTTAATCTTTTTTTAATTATAAATGATATAATATGTATTTTTAATTTTAATTTTACAATACAATTTTTATATATAATTTACAGATATAAATCATATCTAATATATATCTATAAATTTAAAAATTTTATATTAAAAATTTATTTATATGTGAACTAATTTTAAGTTAAAATGTGAATTAAATTTAAATATTAAATATGTTTAAATTTAAAATTTATAAAATATATTATTTGTGTGTAAATTTTTAGTTATAAATTTACATTATTCAATAATTATTGTCATTTAGATGTTATTTAAATAATTTTAATATTTATTATGTCATCCAATTAAACCCCGAATCAATCTCGATCGAACCATTAAATCTTGAACATCTCCTAGTCCAGTTCAATTTTAACAATCTTGCTCTAGATAGTATATCATAAATATATATGATGTTGGCCCAAACCCTCTAAGTATATCGAGTTTTTTGATGTGGGCAAAGCTGACTGTTTGGTGTTCTATGCTTTTTTTTCGGATTTCTTGATGGCTGGTTGGAATTCTTGTTGTTTTCCATACAGGTTTCGGTTTTCCAAACCAAAATAAACTGTTTTTTTTTCTGCCCATCATTGTTTTAAATTGCAATCTTAAATATTTTTTTGATGCACCAATTTGGTATCAGCTTTAGGTTAAAAAAATAGTTTTCCAAGCATTTGAAAAATCAAAACTTGTATGAAAACAACAAGAATTCCAACCAGCCATCAAGAAATCCGAAAAAAAAAGCATAGAACACCAAACATCCAACTTTGACCACATCAGTTTCATAGAAATATCATGCCACATAAACTCATGCGTCAAAAATGCATTTGCAAAGCATTACTTTTACCCTAATGTTTCTTATATTTGTTTAATTCGGTTATATACTCTGCCACGCAGGTCTCCCCCAATAAAAAGTACCGATTATAAATCATCTGGTTTTCATCCATATAAATATTACATGTATAGTGATGAAAGCGGCAGATAATCATGCATTTTACAAGAAGCACTAGGTGCATGGCCTTTTTTTTAATTCTTTGATACCCCAAAATGTGCTTCCTATCATATCAAGTATCTTGCTTTATCCTGTTTCTTATAAACTCAAGCATTACAATCTTTTCATTAAATTAATGCAATATTTTTTATTTAATTTTCTCAATTCTTACTTTTCTGAGGAAATCTGTTTTCACTTTTCTTATGTTTACCAAATAGATTCAACATATTAAATTTGTCCTAGAAAGCTTTATAGCAAGCCTATAATGAGGAATATAAATAATTTCATTTGCTCATATAGATGATATCGATGTCCTTTGAAAGATGCCCCTCAACTTAAAAAGTTCAAAATACATGTCCATTGAATTAAATTGCCACAAGAATGATTATATTAGAACAATGGCATCTATTGAAGATAAGATAATTGAAAATAGACATATGTTATTTAAATATATACAGTGAATGATAGAAAATACACTCATTCAACGAGTATATAAAATTAGAGAAGGATTAGCAAAAAGAACCGATAGACATAAGGTAATATGGATAACAATTATTCATGATAATTTGTGAATAGCAAGCCTAACAACGGGAAACACTATGCAAAAATTAATAAAAATGAGAAATCATAAAATTAAACCCCAATAGTTGGGATTAGGGCAAATGATGATGATGATAACAATAACTTATGTTGCCTCAAGATTTTTAAATCATTCACACAGATTATGTTCTTCACCTTACAAAAAAACATCCAAAAAGCATGCAAAATAACATGTATTTACAAGTAATTCCTTGGAAAATGGAGCTTGAAATGACGGTAAGGTTACTCCATTATAACGTAAAAGTCAGGAGTTCGAATTATATAAAAGAGCTTCACCAAAATGCAATGGTAATGGTGCATATGTCACCCTCTTCAAGTCCTGTTAACTAAAGGATCATGGACTAGAATCAATTTTTATTAATTTTTTAAAATTTTACTCAATGAAGAATAATACGGGTCTTCGGACTTTAGAAATAAGTGATAAGAATTAGAGAGACTTGATTGAGCATTGCATTACAATATTTACTTAGTATTTATACAATCTTAGAAGAGCTTCTAATATAAAAAATGCAAAATGAAGGAATAATAATTACAATAATCTACACATTGATAAATGAAAGTGATGTGAACATCAAACGGTGGATGATATTCAAAGGAAGGGTTGAAGAATGACGACCGAGATCACTCCGTTTTATTTTAGTTTATTAATTGTATTTTGATTTAATTTTGCAATTTTCTCTTTTTACCCTTTTTATTTAAGAGACTTGTCTTATGTAAGCACAAGGGACAAATTTATCTCTTAACTTCTTTTGAGGCCTATATATAGAGGCCATTTCTCTTGTATGAGGTATGATGGAATTATAATAAAAATTTGTGTTCTGCACTTGTATTCTTTTGAGAGGACGTTAATGAGAATCCTATGGGAAGGGATCAGAGTTTTCACCAGCCGCAGGATGGGTCCGAGCTCGTGACTTAAAGTCCCTTGGAGAAGGGCAACATATCACCCGTCAGTCTTCGGAAGAGTCCAAGGCTCGCGGTTTTATCTTTTATCTTTTGTTTCTTTGTTTTTATTCCTTGTTGTTCCTAGTCACCATCTTCATCCTCTCCCTACTTCCACCAAACTGGCCTTAGCTCCACCACCACTCACGGCCAAGCCACTATACAGCCGGCCCCTTCTTCGGTTTCCCTCCCAACCCCTTGCCATTAAACTTTTCCCAAATTAGCTTTCATAATTTAGGTAATACAATTAAGAGCAAATTCAAATCTATTTGAACTTGAAATTACTACCTAAATTAGATATCCTAATTTTGGAAACTTTCCAAATCATAGCCTTTGAATTTAAAAATTAACTTGGGATGAAATATTTCTTTCCAAAGTTAATTTATTAATTTAAGAAAGCTTTGATTGCCTCTTTAAACCACACCTCCTTTCCCTATTGCCGCCGGCCTCATTGGATCCCATTGGGATTTGTTTCCAAATCCAAGTGGCTCTTTTTGGAAGGAATTCAAAGCCCCTCTTCCTCTCCCTAGCCTCCTTTCCCCTCTTGAGTTCCATTACCTATTCTAGATTGACATAATTAGGATAGATTTTGAATTCAAATCCACCTAATTTGAAATTTAAAATCTTACCTAAATTATTAAATCTATTTATGGAAACTTTCCTAATTGACCCCCTAATCAAATTTAAATTAAATTTGATTGAAGCCTTTTTGTCTTATGAGGAGTTCTCTTATTAGGAAGGTGTTTAATTCCTCCCCAATTAACTCCAAACCCTTATTATAACCGTCGGCCCCCTTCCTACCCCCCCCCCCCCTTGTTCTTGATTGAAACCTACTTTCCTTTTCCGTACACCCTTATTTTGGAAGCTTTGATATTACTTATTCAATTCAATTTTGAATAAATTCCTAAAATAGATTGATCTATTTTAGGAAAGTCTTTAAATCAAATCTCAATTAATGACCTCCACTTATGGCCGGCCCCTCCCCTTTCCATAGTTCCTCTCCAATTAATTCCCCTCCATTAATTAATTCTCTAATTGGATATCCCATTATGGGGATTGATTAATTCAAATTCCAAATTTCCCCACCCCCTCACCCGTTCTACATCAGAAAGTAAGCCACAAATTAATGGTAATAGAAGAGAGAGGAAGAGAACGAAAATATGGGTAAATGTGAATCCTAATTGGTGGAAATTATGTAGGTGCAGGCCGCAGGACTCCCTCAGGCAAAAAATTAATGAGGTGGTAGTTGATGAGGAAGAAAAAAGGGTGGAAGCAATAGTCCCAACTGGTGGAAATTATGCAGAGGTTCCACAATGACAATAATCCTTAAGGTTAATAATCTACTTTCCCTGCAAGAGGTTTCCGTTGCCATAGTTGATCATCAAAAAGTCAAATCATGGAAGATAAGAAGGTAAAACATAAATGGGCTAATGATAACCCATAAGAGAACACCAAAACAAAAGAGTTAAAATAGCTACAGTAAGAAAATAAGGCTCACAAGACTATGAGAATGGAAAAAAATGCACATCAATGAATAAAACAATAAGGTACAATATCAAGCATTCTACATTTGAAACCATAATATCACATATTCAGCATAATGATCAACGTACCAGTCATGAGGAACCTCAGCTCCCTCAAAGCTTGAAACTTTTCTAACAAAAGCTTGCATAGATTCTGCAACATCCTTAAGATTAAAATCATTTGTCTGAGAACTACAGCCTGTAACCTGTTGCCCTGGTGTCTTATTTTTACTGTGTTTCAACTCATAATCTTCCATCTCAATTTGCCTCTCCAACAAGGCTGAATTTAACTCATCTTCTCCATTATACAACCAGGAATCATCATCTGAGGGAAGAAGATGCATGTCATTGAAATCATGTATGGAACATACTGAGGACAGTATTTCATCAATCCTTTTCACAGGAGCAGTCATTATATCCCTGCAACAAAGCCATTTTGAGAAAACAGCCTAAATTATTTATGTTCATAATAAATGAGATCACAAAAGCTAGAGATGCAAAACACTGAAATAAAAAAAAATTAGATTTACAAAACGTATTTATAGAAAAAAATTGCATAAGATGAGCAATTGCCATTGAAAGTAAAACTAGATGATAAATTCCATCACAATTTAATTTCATCTTCATGTCAAAGGATTTATTTCATCAATGTTTTATGACGTTTTTTCTCTAAAAAAACTTGAACTGTAACATTAAACTGTTATCCTAAAAATCATTGATAATCAAATCTAGCTGCCCTTAAGAATTTCTGAATTTGTAACCATTTGTTCTTGCTAAAAGCTGAATTCACTGTCAATCTCAGTTCAAGTAAACCTTTCTAACTGCCTATAACAATGCTCATTCCTCTACATTCTCATCCTACAGGAAATAATAACATAAGTTATCTGCAACTTTTTTTTCCTGGATGCGAGTTAATTTATTTCTGCTAGGTTCACCTGAATGCAAATTAGTACTTTAAGAACTTCTAAAACTAGCTCCCTGGTTAATGCTTCTATAACATCTACATAAAGGATACAAATGAGAAACGGTTATAACCCATACTCTATATTCTTCCGCTTAGCTATATACATCCCTCAACTAACAAGATTGTATAAATTCTGATGATCTTGATACCTTGTTCGAGAAAATAAAGCACTGCTTCTGTAGTACTCTAATGCGCTATCCATGTTTCGCTGGTACTCCTTGGATCCCGGTAGCATCCCATCAAAATATCCGCTCCTCTCCAAACTCTCCCTATAGGCTTCCCAAGTACTCCCCTTGCCTTCCTTCCCGTCTCTTTTCCTCTCCTGATACATCATCTCAAATCCGCAAGCAATCTTCATCCCAACCTCCGCCTCCTTATAAGCAGTTTGCCCCTCCTCCCTCCCTGGCATTGGGTAGCACTTCGGCGCCTGGAACCTCTGCTGAACTAGCTGCGCAAACATGGCCCTCGACATCTCCACCGACACCCTAACCATCTCGATCTCTTGCTCCGCCTTTTCGGTCCTCAAGAATTTCTCCATTCTTGCAGCATATTTCATTGAATCCACGTCCCGGTCATAAAATCCCTCCACCGCCAGAGAAATCAGGCAAGGCTCGTGCTTTAGAACCTGCGCCACTTGAAGCGGAACAATAACGACAACTCTGTGCATATTTGTCCTTGCTTTCTCTGGGTAACCCGATATCCTCTTCTTCAGAACGGATTGGACCGAACTCGAGGCTTTGGTGTCGATATCGGGGTTCCTCAAGGCTTCAAGGGAAAAGGCGAGGGAAGGGGTGGATAAGAAGATAGACTTGGGGACGATGTGAAGGTCGCCAGCGCGAATGAAAACGCGGTTAGGACTGGAGTCGGGATTGAGCCAACGAGGAAGGGAGAAGGCAGCCTCGATGAGAAGGAACTCGCCGTCGGAGTCCCAAACACGGATGGAGAGGGAAGGAAATGAGCGGGAGATCTCGAAGAGGAGGAAAACGATGAACCACTCGTCCTCTAGGTTGTCGCCGAAGCGAGTCTTGCCGTGAAGGTGAGGCATGGGAGGGGAGCCGCATAAGCGGCAGGCGGACGAGGAGGCGGCGGTGGATAGGAGGAACGGCTCATGTTGCCAGATGTAGTTAGACAGAAGTGGGGTAAGGAGGGATTGGAAGCGAAGGAGCAGAGAATGGAGGGTGGCCGCGGCGGTTGGAAGCGGGGCGGAAGATGAAATTTCATCGGGATAGATGGAGTAGAAGACAGTGTCTTCGGGTAATTTAGGGTTCCGGCGAGGTAGGTCTTCATCGGCAGCGCTCATTGCCGCCGTCAGCGTAAGAACTCTCTCAAAGCTTCTATGGGATTTCTGGAGAGAAGAAATTCCGTGCGCTGTAAAAATAAAGCGAAATTTTTTCTACATTTATCTCGCATTTTATTTTTCAGCTCCATTTTTCAATAAATATTTTAATTTTTTGTTCGCCATTTTGATTGGCTGTCAATTTAGGATCACGGATGAGGTTCTAGTCGAAATCAAAATTGATCCGGCACTATTCGGATCAACTCAAATCCGATCTATTTTTTTAAATGGATCGATTTTTTGGACCCGAACCTCACCCACTTCGAGTATGGGCAACCCGACACGACCCGAATGATTCGGGACCGACAAAAAATTGCTAGTTCTCGAGTAAAAAATAAGTAATCTCCTATAAATGGATAAATCTCTAGTTTCCAGGTCAAAAAAGGTTTTCGTGTCAATTTCGGATTACTGGGTAAACCCGAACAGGTTTTTGAAACAGGTCGGTTTGTTGAACCCGACTTGTTTCGGGTCCAATTTGACCCAAACATGAAATTTTTTGGTTGGGGTCGAGTTGGATTTTCGGGTCATGTCAAATATTGGGCAAATTATTGCATCCGGTCACCTGACATCCGGACAACCAATCCGGATGCGCCACATCACTCAAATACATCGGGACCCAGTGTATTTTGCTGATGTGGCGTGTCTGGATTGGTGTCCGGACGTATCCGGACACCGGACGCAATAATTTGCCCAAATATTGATACCCCCTGGGCCTTTGAAAATAGGTTGAGGAGAGGGTGTGATTAAGGCTTCATTTGGGCCGGGATGGTTTTCTTACTGCTTTCTAAAACAAATTTTTAGTATCAAAACTAAGATTTTTGTACTAAAAAACAGTTTTAAGAAGCATTACGAGAGCCGTCCCCAACGAAGCCTAAATCCATAAAGTAGATTCTAAAATTTTAAATGCACGTTAACATGTTTAATGAATAGGTTACATTTGAGTAAAAATTTTCAATTCATTTATTAAATGGGTTTGATCATAAAATAATTCGCTTAATAATTTTACCTTAAAATTTTCACTTGTAGTTCTAATCTTCTTATTTTATTCAGATATCATAAACTTTATAATTAATAAGTAATATTTTTTTTTTAGAAAAATGAGTCAAGGACTCTGATTCTGATCATTTGAGTTGCTAGCAGGTGCATTTTGATTTGATTTTTTTTTTTTTTACTTCTTTATTAAACCGAATACGTTCGAGTTGGCTGGATTCAGATATTTTATTGAAAACGGATAATTTTATCATTTAGGGTTCGTTTGGGACGGTTTTTTTATTGCTTTCTAAAACGGAGCTTTAGTACAATTTTTTTTTTATTTTTGTATTAAAACTCCGTTTTAGAAAGCAGTAAAAAAACCATCCCAAACGAAGCCTTAATATCAATTATTGATAGTCTATCATAAATATGTATAATTAGTGATCTAAGAATAAGATTAGATATTTAAATATAAAACTAACTATATTTAGTTTCAATCAATTTTAAATTTAATCATATTCTAATTTAAAGTATATATATATATATATATATATTAGACTTATCCTTATTTTTAATTTTAGGCTAGGGCTTGTGCATTACAGAATTAGATATATTTAAGACTTATAGAAAGTAAGAGATACTTACAAGAGTAAAAAATTTTAGACTAATAAAAATTCATGTATTTAATTTTTTTTATTAGAAATCAACTTTAGAAAACAATAAAAAAGCTGTTCCAAACGAAGCCTTAGTTAGATCTGAGCCAACTTAGTTTGAACTTGATTTTCTGTATATTTGAATGTACATTTATTTTCTTGATTATCTTTTTTTTTTTAGATTTACTTAAAAACAATAAAATAACATAAAGAATCTTCTTCATTAATTATCCAAAAATTATTCTTAAATATGTGAGAAGAACAATTTTTAATTGTCAGGATTCTTAAATTAAATTTTTTTACTATGATTATTTTTAATATGTTATAGAAGTAATTCATGTTCTCATACAGTATGTTAATACTGCTTTTACATGTCAAAAATATTAATGCTCTTTCATGCTAAAAAGATTATTGTTGTTGTTTATATATGCTGAAATATTAATATCCGTGTCTTGTCGATTCATGTTGAAAGTGTTGATGTTTTCATATTCACGTGCTTGAAATGTGTAATTAATGGGGTATAATGTTAGAGAATGTTGCGAATGTAATGAATGTTTTGTGCAAGACAAGAGAAGTTATAAGGGCGTTATAAAGGAAATTGATATGTACGTGATTTATCCATCTATTTTGGATAGATGTGAGAAGACCGAGTGGAGATATAACGAGGCATCGAGAAAATATGATATTATGGTATGTGCTACTTCATGTTATGTTGTATGTTATACTGTTTTTATTTTGATATAATGTTCAATGAAATCTTTATATTATACAGTCATGTTCATGTGATGTTGAAAATGTCATCCTATTATTTTACAAGTTATATTTGCACTGTTAATGTTATGTATGCACATTTGTAACAATTATTTAATATTGCTATAAAGTTGCTAAATATAGTAGAATGCAAATGTTAGGAGTTCACATTTAAAAATGATCTATTGCTAATGTATTGTAAATTGATATAATTGTATTGATTTATGTATTAGTAAGTTATGGATGACCTGCTAAGCATGTGAACTAGAAATTTTTGTACTAGTCTAAAAATTTGAAAAAGCAGTAAGAAAGCCGTCCCACACGCACGAAGCCTAAGGCTTCGTTTGGGACGGCTTTTTTACTGCTTCTTAAAACAGATCTTTAGTAGAAAATTTTTAAATTTTGTACTAGAAAGTTGCTTTAAAAAACATTAAGAAAATTGTCTCAAATAAAACCTAAATTTTTCATTACAATAAAGAGTCTTGCAAGAAAGGCTTCTCAGGAAACTGCATAAAGATATTGGTGCAGGCTTTTTTTGAATTAGCAGCATCCATTACCTCTCTTATTTTCCTTTCACTGTATTCTAACCATTTTTTAAGGTACAAGCTTTAGTGATTTGTAGACATGCCAGGTACCAAGGAAGAAGAAACTAACATGTATAAAGTATCTAAGAAAAAAGAATGAAGATCACAATATTTTGATTATATTAAGCTTCGTTTGGGACGCTAAAGTAGTTTTTAGTACATAAATTTCATAAACTAAAATATTTTGTACAAAAAAGTTGTTTCAGACAGCAGTAAGAAAGTCGTCCCAAATGAATATTAAATCAATTAAAATTTAAGATAATAGATCCTAGTTGTGGATGATGATGAGAAAACATTAAAATGCTATATTGAGAAATAAAAGGCTTCGTTTTCGAGATTTCTCGGTTGGCCTAAAGCTCTCCAAGCATGAATAGTTTTTGTGGTTGCCCCGTGGATCTAGAGTTCCCCGAACACGAACTACAAAATTTGGTTGTATTCGTAATTATCTTCGAGCTTGCGACTGTTCGAGGCAACTCATATATCAGAATCAATTGTTTTGTGGCATTTTTTAAAATGCAGTAAATGTGCAAGTAATTGAAGTTTCTTGTGGTTGATTACTGTGATGAATATATGCAGTAAGTTGCAAGATCTTGATATATTTCATTCCATTTTTTTATGGACAGGAATTTCAATTCTGTTCACTGCTGTTTGAGTATATGAATATAGATATATATAATATATTGATACATTTCCCTGCTAATATCATTGTGAAACAAGTAAATCGTAAGATTTTTGAAAAAAGAAACTCTGCTTTTTTTGCACTATTTTAAACTCTCGCAATTCTGGACAATTTACAGTGCAATATGCATGACAATTTTGGAGTATATCAAATTAAATCATAGTATTAATTTGTGTCCCAAATTTTTTCTCCAAGATTGCAAAACCTAAAGACTCTTTTTCTCTATAGTGATTTGCTTAATTTTAGGGGGCAATAGGCAGGCTTCAATTCCCTAATTCCACCACTACACGAAGTAGCGGTATCGATGCCAAATCCTAATATCTATGAAGATGAAAATTTTTCTTTTTGGGACATTTAGATCAATTAAGATAAATTCACACGCACATTACATATGTAAGACTTGAATTCAAAATCTCTTGGTTAGTGGTCAAAGCTCCAAACCAACAGATCAAGTTGAGTTGCGTGTGAAAATGAAGTTCAATATAGCTTTTTAGAGTTGGAGGACATATCAACGTGCCACTTGTTGTGAGGACAATCAAGCAAGCCATAAATAATGCAACATCACTAAATGTTGTTGACCAGTAACAAAAAGAAGATGTTTGGGAGGGCAAATGTGGTTGTAGTCAGATAGTCGAAAAAAATATTTGCAGGAAAAAGCTTTAGGATAGAGGAGCTCCAGGTTGGATAATTATTGTATAGCAACTGGATGTTGACAACATCAATGTTGATGTTGGAGACAAAAAACTTGAGGGTAGAAGGAATCGAAGGTTTTGTAGGACTTGCCGAGGCTGACGTTTGCGTTTGTGGGGTGGAAGGCACAGAGACTGATGAATCCCCCATCAATGTCAGAGAAAACAACCATTAAGCAAGTGGCTCTGATACCATGTTGAAGCAAAAGTGAAGGATTCTTACAGTTCCGAAATACAGGGAATGAAAGAGCTATAGAGAACATATGTATGGTAAACTTCACATTTCATTCATATAAATTATTGTAGCTTCTTTATAAACAAAGCTTTAGGACTATGTGCAAAGACATATTTGTCCAGTTAATTACATAAAGCAATATATGGTAAGAAGCATAGCAGAAGACGAAGGCTTTTAGCTGGCCTATTGTTGTAGTGGAGATGAGCTACTCTTCTCACTTTCTACAACAACTTTACAAAATCACATTTTCTACAACAAAAAAGCCGTCCCAAATGAATCTTTAATCTCCATACTAATCACCTTTGCTAAGTTAGAAACATGCTTGAATATTATCATTATAATAAGCATGTATGATTTATAAGATCTAATCAAGAAATTAAGGTTTGCTGGTGACACATCCCAAGATCTAAGTTGATGAATATCTATTATATTATATTTTTCTTATATAACCAATATTCATTCATTTATCAACCAAATAAATA